GAAGGATTTTTGTTTGTAAAATTCTAGGTTGACAAGGCTTTTTTTTTTTCTTTTAGTATATGTAGAATGTTTTCCATGTCTTATAATCACTATTGTTTCTGATAAAAAGCAGTAGTAATTTCAATCATTTTTCTTCTTAATGTATTCTTTTTCTTTGGTGCCATTCAAGATTTTGTCTTAAAAATTTTCTTTTTTCAAGAATTTGATTGCATATCATTTTCTTGGTATTTATCCTGCTTGGAATTCTTGACTGAGCTTCTTGACTCTGTAAATTTATATCTTTTACCAAATTTGGGAAATTTTTGATCGTTATTTCTTCAAATATTCTTTTTAACCTCATTTGCTCTTTCCTTTGGGGCTCCAATTATATGTATGTTAGACTTGCTGTCTCCCATATCTCTGGTTTCCTTCCCATGGCCCCCCTTTTCTCTCTAATCTTTTTTCTTTCTGTTTTACAGTTTGGTTACTTTGTGGTTGATTTGTTTTTCAGTTCACTAACTCTTCTGCATCTCCATTCTACTTTTCCCATCCATTTAATTACAGTATCTATTTCTTTGCTGAGATTTACTGGCTTTTCATTCATTATGAACACCCCTCTTTTAAATCCTTGACTGCTAATCCAAACATTTGGGTCAATGCAAAGTCAGTTTCTTTTTACTCTTCTCTTGAGAATGGGTCATGTTTCTTGTTTCTTTATATGCTAAACAGTTTTAGATTGTGTCCTTGACATTGTGTGTGGTGTGTTATAGAGACTGAATTCTGTCACTTTCCTACAGAGAACATTGAATTTTGTTCGTTTCCCAGCAGTGAGCAGCAGCTTAAATCTCAGTTCAGTTCTTTTAGCCCTAATTTAGCTGTTTGGGGTCTGTTCCATGCACTTATGGTTCAGGGATCAGTCAGAGACTTTGAGCAGCATTTATACAGTTAGTGGTACCCCTCTGGCCCTCCTTGGCATTTCCCTCCCTCACTTCTCAGCTGTTGTGGTTGCCTTTAAAGTCTGTTCTCTGGTTCTTTAAGCTAATAAGACTGGATTTTTATCTGAATTTTAGCCACCTCTTACGGCACAGACTCTTACCTGCCTAGCCAAAAGGGGACTCTTTTCCAGTGTTATCACCTTTTCCCCAGAGTTGACCCTCCATCTGCTTTCATAATCTGCCTATTTTTTGTTCTCTCTTACCTTTGGATGGGCTTCCCTGGTGGCTCAGACTGTAGAGAATCTGCCTGTAGTACAGGAGACCCGGATTTGATCCCTGGGTGGGACGATGCCCTGGAGAAGGGAATGGTAACCTACTCCAGTATTCTCACCTGGGAAATTGCATGGACAGAGGAGCCTGGTGGGCTATGGTCCATGGGGTTACAAAGAGTCAGACAAGACTGAGCTACTAACACACACACGCACACCTTTGGGTAGTTGTTTTTTATATTTTGTCTGGAGTTCGTAGTTTATCTGCAAGAGAGTTGGTGTCATAGGAGACTTTCTGCCATGGCTGGGAGTAGAACTTCCATCAAACTAGATATAAATTACTCTTTTGACAAAGTCAGGTTGGTTTTTTTTTTTTTTTTTAGTTTCACCGATGTGTATATTATCCTCCTTATGTCCTCCAAGGGACCAGGTATAAAAATGTTCTTAGCTTTTTTTTTTTTAAACTTCGAATTTTATATAAAGCTCCTTTAGTGTATCCCAACTCTGACTACTGGTAGTTTAGAAATTGAAATACTCATTTTATTTGGTGTATCTAATCCAAGATGTAGATATAACAGATGTATTCTATAAATAGTTTCCCAGGAAGTGATGGTTACTTTTATTTTGCTTGAATCTAAGCTAACTCTATGATCTGCAGAAGTTAGGTGGTTCAGCATAAACCAGGTTGAGATTTATTGGGTCTTCCTCAGGTAGACCTACCTTTTCATATCTGCTCTCCCATTTAAAAACACAAAAGTAATAAGTTTAATATAAATGTGGAGGTCTTGAACATTTTCTGATGACCTGGACTTCAGACAGAAGTTTTGAGGATATTTTCTATTTTAACTTGCTCACATGAAGCAATCAACATAGGCTTTTCATGGTAAGAATGGAGAAAATAATGTCCTAATTTGTGTCATTATCAATCTGGAAAGCAGTTATTTAGTAGTATGTGTATTTCATTTTAGACTGTGTGAAAACCTGCTCATGTAGGTTAACTTTTAAGTGGTCAAAATATTTTCTGCCCAAATTAGAAATATTTGGAGCTGTGGTTTTAACTTTTTTGAGTCATGAAATCCTTTGAGATCTGATAGAAATTGTGTTTTCTCCCCAGAAAAATGCAGACGTCTTCCTACAAAAATTTGTAAAGCATTGCAGAGTTTAGGGGTTCCTTTGAAGCTTCTCAGCATCAGCATCCCTCATTTAGGGTTATTCAAATCAAGCTAGTACCAAGAGGCTAATAGCAATACAAATGTCAGTTTGTTTCTGGCTTGGCCAAAGCAGGACAAGTAAACAAAGAACCTATTAGAAGTCCTTGTAAGGCATGCAGGCTTTTAAAGAAAATCTGTTGTGATTTTATCTGAACTGTACTTTGCAGGGGGCAGATGCACAAAGATAGACTGATACCTAGTTGACTAATTTTTCAGTTGTTAGAAATGGGCTTTAGTTTTGATGTTCAGACCTGCTGACATTTGTGTTGGGCAAATAATTAGTTGTTGTTTATAGGACAGTGGAACAGCTGTGGTTGTGATGTCATATTCCTGGTATTGTTTGAATTTCCAGAGGTCTAAATAACTGAGGATTTAAGGGACCTGTGACACGTGTAGATGTGAGGAAGTAGGGCTATCTAGATGTTCCTGAGGCAATATGTGTGTGTTGCTTATTCTCTGAAAAACTCAGCCCTCAGTAAATGATGAATGATTAAGTTGTTTTTAATAAAAAGATATTAGGTTTGTGACCTCCTTCCTCTGTTACTTTATGACACTTCATATGGTGTCTATGATGAACATGATTTGGTTTCAGGGCCCTCATACCTATTCTTTACACATTCTCTTTCCCCTTGCGAAAATACTATGCTCCTGCTACTGGTTCAGTCTAATACACAGCAGGACTTTTGTCTAAGAGGCACTGTCTGCTGTGCGTTTACTCAGAACCTGACTATTTAACAAGATTTCTTTACTCAACTTGTTTAAAGAAGAAGCAGGAGGTGGAGAGGTGGTGGTGGGGACAGAGGATCTGAAGACCACTTCTGTGATCATAGCTTTCCTCCTCCTCTTTGTCTACACTCCAGGTCAGCTCATCATGTTCACTTTTGGCTCCATTCTTCATCTCACTGCTTTGAAATTCTCCCCCTAAATAGTCCCCTGTTCCATCTTTTGAATGCTCTTTAGGTCTTAGGGGGTACCTCATAGCCATCTGAGGAAAATGTCTTTCTCTGAAGGCTTTCATATAGGACATTGCTAACTGCCCTGACTCCTGTGTATGTTCAGATGTTTTGTGGTTTTTACTGAGGGGATTTTTTAGCCTACTAAGAAAGAAATGAGAAAACTGACAATTAAAAGTAAAGAAGCTTATGAGGAGGAAATAGTTTATCTTCTCTCAGAATTGGATGCAGTTTAAAAATACATTCTGAGAATGTCAGAATGTAGACAAGATCTTTTGTCAGCTGCTTGCAGTTTAATTACTTTGTACAGTGAGTGCAGGCTTGCATGGGTGGGCTCTTTGCACTCTGCAGGTGTTAGTGAAAGCTCTGAGACTTGCTTGACATAGCTGTAGGGCTTTGTTGCATTGCTTCCAGTATCACCAGCTGCCTGCTGATTTTGCAAATTTTCTTCAGTGAAGATTACCAAATGTATTTTGAGAAATGAAACTTGCTAGATATGAGTTTCAGAAAAATCAGTTTGGAAGACAGGATTGGATGTGAGAGAAATTGAAATTGTAGAACTTGCTTTATTAACAGAAAGAAGGTTGGGCCTTGTCAGAAGTTGAAAATTATGAATAAGTGGGCTTATGACAGTGATGGACAGAATCTGACAGAAAATGAAAGTGAAGGTTTTAATTATAAAAGCAGTAACTTTCTGACTGGAGTGATTACTAGTTTCTGGAACAGGTGCCTTAGAATTAATATAAACTTTTTTTCCCCCAGAAGCTTTCAAGACGCCTCTAGGCTGATTTAAAGTGAAGGACTATCTGACTTTAGGTTCATCCCAATCTTGTGTTGGTGAGAACTGCATCTTCCTTAATAATCACCAGCCTCCTGGGGTTCTAAGCCAACTTAGAAAAATGTTAGTTGGAGCAGGATTTATTCTGTCAGCTAGAGCACATGAACAGGATCCTGTGCAAGTGTGCTTTGAATGGATAGACCACATAAGCTGGAGCCTCCCACCTAATAACCTCGCTGCAAAATTGTTATTCATGTATGTTCTTTTTCCTATAGAATGTTTCATATACGTTTGATGGAACGGTTCTTGAGGATAGGTGGTTCATCTCTATCCTCCACAGTACCTAAGGCCCTTGTTTAACACGGTTACTCAGTAAATAGATATGCAATTCAGTTGAATTGTCCTTGGTCATGTTTCCCACATATTTTTCCATGATTCCTAGTAAATTTATTATGTTTGAAATATTTAGGTCCTTTTAACTTGTCCCCTTCTCCCTCATTCCTTGGGAAAAACAGTATTTGGTGGTATACTTTCAGAAAAAGCACTAGTGGCTTTATAGTACTTTAACATCTGTTGAGCTCTTTATCCCATTATACTATATTGTAATGTTTTTCAAACTGTGAATCGTGGCCATTAATAGGTCTGCAGGTAGCATTTTGGTTTTAAATGATATAGAGTAGAAGTTATGAAAAGACATCTCATGTAGTAAGGGTAAGTATTTTTGGGGTGAAATTTTTAGGTGAATTTATGTATACATATCATGTATGTGTTTATTGCTTCATGATGTAAGCTTTGTTTCATACTGGAGTCATGGTCAAAAAAGTTTGAATAACATTGCTTTATTGTAATCCTGTGTTATTTTATTTATCATGTAGCATTATGCCAGTACATACAGGCTTCTAAAGCCAGGGATGGTGCCAGCCCTTTCATTTCAAGTACAACTGAAGGTAAAAACAAAGTTGAAAACACCCATAGCATTCTGGTGGCCCTTATATAAGTCTCTCCAGTGGCATTTTGTACCCTTTGACATTCTAACTTTCTCACGCCTTTTTCGACCAATAGATTTTTCATATTCCTATCCTTCTAGGTGGTGGGTTCTTCGATTCTTCCTCTTTCCTCCTTAATGTTCTTATTTCTGTGTACTCTAATGCTTTTGGGAGGGGACGGAGGAAACAAAGGAGGATTTCAGAAATTTCAAATGATTCTCAATTGACAAGTAACTCATTTATCCTGAAGTCTACTTTCTTAATGTTCTTGAATTTTTTAATTCCCCTTGTATTTTTTCAGAGATCATAGAAATGCATACTTTATTTTGAATTTAAAATAATTTATGCTTCTGTCATGTTTTCAGTTGACTTTTACCAAAGTAAATATTGCTTTTAGGGGGAAAAAACGATATAATCCTTCATCTTTCCTTGTGTTTTCTCCCCTCTTCTCCCAATAAGATTAACTATTGGATTTGTAGTCATTACTACTACTTTTCATTTTAAAGAAAAGCCAAGGTATCTAGCAGTGTCCAGTATTAACCATGCTAAACGTTTCCAGCTTCTTTACTGATCTATAATCTGATAACCATAATGCTTTTCCTGTTCTTAGATGGTTGACATACTAACCCTTTTGCCTTCATTTCTGTACCTTGCTGGACTGCCAAGCTCAGATATTCATAACCCTGTGGTTTCAAGGGACTTTGTAGAGATGATTTGCTTCATTCTTTTTCTTGCAGGAGAAAATTTTGAGCAGACACCATTAAGACGAACATTCAAGTCTAAGGTCCTTGCACGATATCCTGAGAATGTGGACTGGAATCCCTTTGACCAAGATGCAGTGGGAATGGTTAGTATTTGCTAGCTACAAGTGTGAGATAATTTACAGAGTAATTTACAGTAGGATTGTCAGTTCAGACTATGGTAGCTGTGATTCCACCAAGTATCAGTAACTTCTGAAGATGGAGTAATATGCATGTTGTTCATGATTCTGCATTTGGATCACTGTATCACATACTCAGAATATATCAGATATACCAAAAGTCACAGTGTGCTTCTGTTGAGTCAGACAAGTACTTAGTATTGGGTGAGTGAACTTTTTTGTGAGATTGAGCTGCTAGTTGCTTATAGCATTGATACTGTATGATGAGATTTAAAGCAGTTTCCTCTTAATTTATACTGTATATATCTGAGTAATATGGCAGAAATAAATCTTTTTGTTTTAGTGTAATTTTAGCACCCAGCTGGTGCCAGTGGTAAAGAACCTGCATGCCAGTGCAGAAGACCTAAGAAACATGGGTTCAATCCCTGAGTTGGGAATCCTCTGAAGGAGGAAATGGCAACACACTCCACTGTTCTACCTGGCAAATCCCATGAACAAAGGAGCCTGGTGGGCTACAGTCCATGGAGTCGCAAAGAGACATGACTGAAGTGACCTAGTACACAGATAGGGCAGCATTTTTAATCTCTAGAAGAATACTACCATGAATAACGCTTATTGAGTATTCAACTTATGCTCGGTACTATAATAAGTACTTTACATGAATTAACTCATTTAATTCTCATAGCACCCCTTATGTGGGCTACCCTGGTGGCTCAGTGGTAAAGAACACATGTGCCAGTGCAGGAGATGTGAATTTGATCCTTGGGTTGGAAAGATCCCCTGGAGAAGGAAATGGCAATCCACTCCAGTATTCTTGCCTGGGAAATCCCATGGATAGAGGAGCCTGGTGGGCTACAGTCCATGGGATCGCAATGAGTTGGACACGACCTAGTAACTAAACAGCAAAAAATGAAATCCTTCATGTAGATAATATTAAATAAACACAGAAAGACATATTTTATGGGTAAGGAAACTAAGATCCAGAGAGGTTAGGTAATGTGTTCAAGTCACATGGCTAAGGAACTGTTTGAATAAGCTTAAATACTAGTTTCAGAACTCTGCCCTTGACCACATCTTTGTACTTCTTTTGTTATTTTTTAATAGCTTTGTGAGGATGATCTTGTTTGATGGACGCAATAAGTCTGTGAAGTAGGCAGAATAAACAGTATTATCTTCATTTTACAGGGGAGGAATCTGAGTCTAGAGAGCCTCAAGTGTTTTGACTCCTAGTCTGGTGCTTATTTCCTTTTAACATGGTATATTCTAGAAACATTTAGGCTATGAGAAGTCAAGTTCAAGAATAATGGAAATATCATAATGTAGCTAGCTCCTTGTACTTGTTAACCCTGGCTCCTCAAAGTCCATTTGTATGACTAGGTTGGTGGAAAAGTAGAAAATGAAAACTGATTGTTTCAGGTCGGTTTGATTAACTATTCAGTTTCTTTATATAACCCGTGTGAGTTAAAGTGAAAAAAGTACATCTTTATCTTGATTGTGTCATCTCTTTGCATTGTGTGAAATGAACATCTCCCCGCCCCCCTTTTTTTCCCTCTGAAAAGAGAAGATTTTGTTGATGACAGAATCTTGTGAGCTGGATAGAGTCTAAAACTTGGTTTATTTTTAAGTATGAAGTTGCATCTATCTGGTTTTTAGATGTTTCTAGCATCATCTCCTAATACATGCTGTCATGCTTGACCACCTACCTAAATTCTCCAAGCTTTCTTTAACCTCCTTTATGCATTTCCTTTGTGCCCATGAAATACCCTTCTTTCTCTTGTCTACCTAATGAGTTCAGGCATAAGCTCATCTCTGAAGCCTTTTCTGATGAAGACTGAGACTGAGTTGTTTTGTGTTCCTCTGATACTTTGTGTATACTTCTATATAGCCTTGATAACTACGTTGTAATTTTAGTTATGTGTGTGTCTTAGAATGGGAGTTCTTTAGGGCAAATAATTTGCTGTGTTGGACTTGATATTCCAAGAGCATAGTAGGTGCTCTTTAAGTGTTAATAAATAAGTAGTGATGGTGTTCTGAGAAGAGGAATAGCACTGTGTTCTCACTCATTATTTTCTTGTTGTCTTTTACAGCTATGCATGCCCAAAGGGCTGGCATTCAAGACCCAGGCTGATCCCAGGGAGCCTCAGTTCCATGCCTTTATTATCACTAGGGAGGATGGTTCTCGGACCTTTGGGTTTGCTCTCACATTTTATGAGGAGGTGACTAGCAAGCAGATCTGCAGTGCAATGCAGACCCTCTACCACATGCATAATGCGGAGTATGATGTCCTCCATGCTCCACTTGCTGATAGCCGAGACCTCAGTGGCATGGAGGATGGTGATGGCACTCCTGGGACCAAGCTGCAGCGCTTCAACTCCTACGACATTAGCCGGGATACACTCTACGTCTCTAAGTGCATCTGCCTCATCACGCCCATGTCCTTCATGAAAGCATGTCGGAGTGTGCTGGAACAGCTTCACCAGGCAGTTACTTCACCTCAGCCCCCTCCACTGCCTCTTGAGAGCTACATATACAACGTACTATATGAGGTGCCACTCCCACCTCCTGGCCGGTCCTTGAAGTTTTCCGGGGTCTATGGGCCAGTTGTCTGCCAGAGACCAAGTACCAGTGAGCTTCCCCTGTTCGACTTTCCTGTCAAAGAGGTCTTTGAACTGCTTGGGGTGGAGAATGTGTTTCAACTTTTTACTTGTGCCCTTCTGGAGTTTCAAATCCTGCTCTACTCACAGCGTAAGTCAGTGCTTACTAGAGCTCTCTTCCTGCATAGGGCCTCTTCTTTCTTCCATATCTGGTAACAGTGGGGGTGACTGTAAAGGCCAAGGGCTGTTAGAGTTTGAGCAGAATCCAGATCTTTTGCTTTCTATGACTCATCAGCTTTTGTAAATTCTAAGTATGTGAATTTTCAACCAATTGCAAAGAACAAATATAGAATTCCCTATTTAGCATCAACTAAATTAACTTGTGGCGCTAGTGGTAAAGAACCCACCTGCCAAGGCAGGAGACATAAGTGATGTGGGTTTGATCCCTGGGTTGGGAAGATCCACTGGAGGAGGAAATGGCAACCCACTCCAGTTTTCTTGCTTAGAGAATCCCATGGGCAGAGGAGCCTGGCGGCCTATAGTCCATACAGTCCCAAAGAGTCAGATACAACTGAAGTGACTTAGCATGCACACACGCTGGATGGTAAACTAATGGAACATGAGAGGTCTACCATTTTTTATTGACTATCATCATGGCCTTTTGCTGGACTCTCCAGTCTGGGAGGGGAACCCTGCCTCCTGAAGTCTGACTGATGCTGAAAAGAGGAGGCAGGAGTTGATGTTTGTGGAACACACTTTCTACCAGTTTGTCCTATCACTCTGCAGAGTTGTTTCTGCCCCTTCTTCAGCCTGACAGTAGTGATCACCCTTCATATATTTGAAAAAAATATATTTGAGAAAATGAGGATGTGTTGCTTTTTTCTGTTGTTTGTTATAACTGAATTGTTTTTATGAGAGGTTAAGTGATTTTGAGCAGTGGATTTGGACACAACAGTAAAGTAGAGCAGAAGGAAAAAATATTAAGGGAGTGAATTAAGTAACATAAAATTCGTTCATTCAATACATATTTACTGAGAGTGTGCTGTGTGCCAGGCATTATTCTAGGGGCTAGAGATTCAGGGTGGACAAAATAGATAAACATTCCTGCTATAATAGAACTTGCATTTTACTGGGAAAGAGAGGTGATTTTTGGTTGCTTGGCTCGTGAGCTCTTCGTTCCCCAACCCTAATCCAAACCCCGAATCTAGGCCCTGGCAATGGAGGCACCACGTCTTAATCATTGGGCCTATAGGGAATTCCCCCGACCCCTTTCTTTTTTGGAGAGGTGATTAAATAGATAACTGTATAGTATGTCAGGTGCTAATAAAAATAATATAGTAATTTTAATAAAAAGTTAACCAGTAAAGAGGGTAGTGTTGGGGGAAGGGAAATTCCAGTTTTTAATAGAGTGATTAGATTAGGCCTCTCTGAGTGATCCATGTTAATGTTTGTAGGAAAAGTTTTCCAGGCAAAGAGCACAAGAAATAGAAAGGTTCTGAGACAAAAATGTAGTTGGTATGTCCAGGAACAGTGAAGGTGCCTGATGGATATAATGGTGTGAGAGAGCAGGCGCTTAATAGCAGATGCTGTTAGAGACTTAACAGGAGGCCAAATTGTAGAGTCCTGTAGGCCACTGTGAGGACTTCGTTACTCTGAGATGTTTAGTCATTGGAGGTTTTAACATTTTTGACTTTTTGTTTTGAAATCATTCCCAGCTTATAGAAGAGTTGTAAGAAATGTTCAAAGAACTCTTGTATACTCTCCCACAATTCACCAATTGTTAACATTTGGGTGTATTGTTTTATCATTCCCTGTGTATCTCTGTATGTGTGTGAACATAAATGAACCATGAGAGTCATTGTAGATTCCATGTTCCTTGATTCCTTAGTACTTCAGCTTTTATTTTGTAAGAACAAGAACATTTTTTAATATAGCCATAATATGATTAATAAATTTAGAAAATTTAACATTGGCAAAATAATAATACTATATTCAGGTTTTATTTACCATTGTCCAATAATGTCCTTTATGATAAATTTTTAAAAATTGAGGTATAGTTGACACACTATTATTTAAGTTTCAGGTGTACACCATAGTGATTCATGATTTTTAAGGGTTATATTCCAGTTGTAATTGTTATAAAATATTGTTAGAGAATACAGACAATTTTCCCTGTGTTCCCTGCATTGTATAGTAGGTCCTTGTAGCTTATTTTATACATAATAGCTTTTACCTCTCATTTGTTTGTTCTCTATATCTATGAGTCTGTTTCTTTTTTGTTATAACCTAGTTTAATATCTTAGACTCCACATAAAAGTGAATGATAATTTAAAAAAAATTCCTGGTCCAGAATTTTAGTCCAGTGACATATGCAGTATGTATATTGCTTTTAGTAGTCAATTCTTCATGTCTCTCATGACTGACATTTTTGTAGAGTACAGGCAAGGTATTTTGTAGAATGAACCTCCATTTGGGTTTTTCTTCTGATGTTTCCTTCTGGCTAGATTCAGGTTATACATTTTTGGCTATGATGTCACAGAAGTGATGTAGTGGTTCTCTCAATGCATTATATCAAGAGGCACACCACGTCTATTTTTATCATAGGAGGCACATGATGTTCGCTTGTCCCATTTTTGATAATGTTAATTGGATCACTTGGTTAAGATGTCTGCTGAATTTCTTAACTGAACATTATCATTTTTTTCCCTTTGTAATTAATAACTAATTTGTGGATTGATACTTTGAAATCCTATAAATATATTATTGCTCTTCAAAGTTTTACATAATAGCTTTAGCATCCTTTGATAATTCTAGTCTGAATTAGTTACCAGGCTGGTTGCTTTTTACTGTGAGGAAGAACATTTCATTCTCCCTTGTTTATTATTGTATAGACTCAGAGATTTTTATTTTATTCAGTAGGTTATATCATCCATTACTATAATTAATTTTTTTAATTTTGAGGTCAAATTGTCCCAGATCTGGTCCATAGGCAGAGTCTGAATAATGTTAGTTAGGAGACCACTGTAATAATCGAAGTGAGATTCTATGTTGTCTCTTCACTAAGGCGGTAACAGCAAAGTGGTGTGAAATGGTTGGATTCTGAATATGATTTGAAGTAATAGAGACTGTGTTGAATTGAAGAGCATATACCCCATCTAAAATGGACAGCCAGTAGTTAGTTCCAATTAATTCCTGTGGAAATCCTGGCCTGATGTTTCTAGATCTTCCAGTTTTTCATGAGGACCCAGATTTTTTATGTGAAATTTTTTGATTTTTAAACAGTGGTAACAATGTTCTTGTTAAACACTGCAGAACAAACAAGAAAAGCCTCTGTTGACTGAGTGTGGTTCCTGAGGCTTCACTTTGCAACTTGTTCTGAATAATGATGTTTCAGACTCCCGTCTCTGGATGATGTATAGACTTGTGTAAGTCTTGTTGCTTTTTTAGTTACTGTTTCTTGACTGTACTCAGTCGCTCAGTCGTGTCAGACTGTGGCCCCATGGACTGTGGCCCACCAGGGTACTCTGTCCATGGTATTCTCTAGGCAAGAAAACTGGAGTGGGTTGCCATTCCCTCCTTTAGGGGATCTTCTTGACCTAGGGATGGAACCCATGTCTTCTGTATTGGCAGGCAGATTCTTTACCACTAGTGCCACCTGGGAAGCCCATGTTTCTTGTGACACTGAAAAACATGGGTTTGAATTACATGGATCCACTTATATGTGGATTTTTTTCAATAAATATAAGAATGAACAGTCCATGGTTGTTTGAATCCTTGGATGTGGAACTGTGGATAGAGAGTGAAGTGAAGTGAAATGAAAGTCACTCAGTCGTGTGTGACTCTTTGCAACCTGATGGACTGTAGAGTCTATGGGATTCTCCAGGCCAGAATGCTGGAGTGGGTAGCTGTTACCTTCTCCAGGGGATCTTCCCAGCCCAGGGATTGAACCCAGGTCTCCCTCATTGCAGACAGCTTCTTTACCAGCTGAGCCACCAGGGAATCCGAGGGCTACCTGTAAATGTTTGAGATGATGAAGTTTTAGTCATCAGTTTTTAATTATTGCGTTACTAGTTAAACGAAAAAACCAAAAACTATTTCCAGGTCATGCTTAGCCAGGAACAACGTGTAAGCTGCTCCAGAGTTTTATTGGTGACCACACAGGATGCTTTGCTAAAACTTCTCTATCTAGTTGATGCATATCAGCTTCTGCTCACTTCCTACTCATTTGTCTTCATTTTCTGGAAAGCTTTTTGTTAACTTTTAACTCCTTTAAGCTGTGATTTGCTTAAATGGTGGGTTGAATTTTTAGTGCATAAGGCTGTTTAACCCCTGTGAAAACTCACTCATTTGAAATCAACCGTTCCAGGAGGATATTACTCATACGGTTTTAAAATTTTTGTTCCTACTTTGTCCTTAAGTATCTGAAACTATCATACCATTTGTAAATAGGAACTTGTTAAATTTTGATTTTAATAAATCTGTTGTGTTGACTTTGCTCCTTTAAAAAATAAAACAACTCCAAAAGCAAACAAACAAAAAAAAAACAAGTCTAGAAATTGCATCCTGAAAAAAACCTAAACTTTGAGCATAAGCCTTCTCTTCCAAGCTATGCTCTCTGACCTAGAATAGGCTTTTGAGTAATGAAAATCAGTCTTCTGGGTCTGTCAAGTTCTAGGGAAGCTTTTTATCAAAGTGTTAAAATGATACTTTCATACTGTTTTCATTCAGGCTGAGTTGTCAGATTGGGGGCAGACTTGGCTAAAGGTAGAAAACCAGTTTCTACTTGGTTGGTGGTTCTTTGGGCTTGATCTTGATGGCAAAGTTCACATCAGATCTTTATAGAATGCAGACTCATGTAAGTGGTAAATGAGGTGTTTGGCATTCATGCTGAATAGAAACCAGACCACAGTTCCTTTTCTTTTTGTTCTAGTTCTCTACCCTCTTTCTACTTAAGAGAATCTACTTAACATTCTCATTTAGTATTTAGAGCAAGGTGCCATTTATGATTTCGGTTGTATTTCTATTAAATGTTATAACGAGCATGGACTTGTGTGTGTGGGGGGGGGGTATACTTCAGCATGTGATCCACTGAGGTTTCTGGGTTGTCTCTCTGATACCCATAAGGGAATCATGCTCTGAGCATACCCTTGCTGAAGTTTATACCGTTCTTTCTACGTGTGGAATTGTATTAAGAATTTTTAATTCCTGTTGGAGAAGCAGATGCCTTGTTTTTGACTGGTTTGTGTGTATGTGTTTATTTTTTTGACCTAGATTACCAGCGACTGATGACTGTGGCGGAGACAATTACAGCTCTCATGTTTCCTTTCCAGTGGCAGCATGTCTATGTTCCTATTCTCCCGGCTTCTCTCCTACATTTCTTAGATGCTCCTGTACCATACTTGATGGGCTTGCATTCTAATGGCTTGGATGACCGGTCAAAACTGGAGCTGCCCCAAGAGGTAAGAGAAACCTGGAGCTTGGGTGCTGGTGCCTGTGGCCCTGATACAGGATTTGGGAGAGAAGGGCTTTGGGATGAGTCCAGGGTGGTATCACCAAGTTTATTTTCTTTTATTTTGGAGAACATAAATAACTTTCCAGGAAAAAAGCAAAAATAATAACATTTAGCTCAATTTCTATCATTCTGGAAACACTTGTTTATCACCTGACATACATTTATTGTAATCTCTGTGTTTATACTACTATGAACTTTTTCATGCACATTTTTTCAAACATAGTATTTTATGTATTTTTAAGACATTTATTAGAAAATCTTATTATGTAAAATTTTAAATTTACATGGAAGAGTAGCATAGTGAATCTGTTTGCAATACTTTTAGCTTCAACAGTTATCATACATTTAAATTGTATTTTATTCCTATACTATTTCATACTATTTAAATAAACTCCACATAATATAATTTTATAGCTACTTTAGTAGCCAGACTTGTGTTAATAAATCATTGGTTTCCTTTTATAGGCCACAGTTGCTCTGTAAAAGTTGACCAGATCATAGTGATTCTTGTAGTACTGAGACATCTTTGAAAATTTTCCTTGCTCAAGATAATGAAGGCCTTGAGATAATGCTTTTCCTCGCTGTGAGAATGGCCTGTTCATCTTTTCTGTTGTTTCAAATACTAAAATAACTGATTAGAAATAAGTATTTATTTATTTAGTACTTCATTCTAAAATAAATTTAAAGCCCATTAGGAATAAGATTGTTCACTGTTTATTTTCCTAGAATTACAGGTAAAACTCATCTACCTCTTTTGGTCATTTGGTGGCTGGTATGAAACTAGCTGGGGGAATTGGGCTTTACTACTCTGAATTTCATAGTCAGTGGAAAGGCCTGGGAAGAACACTTTGGAGTATTCACACAATGGTCTCATTCCTTTACCAATGATTTTTTGGGGAAGATTTTTATGTGTAACTGAGGAATATGAGTAAAAGGACCTCCAAAGAAGAGACCATTCTCATGGAAGTGGGTCTGAGCAGCCTCATGTTGCTGGGCAAGTCTGGGTAGCCACCGTGACGAACAATCCTGATAATTAGATCATAACTGTAATATTTAATTTATATTCAGATGCATCTCTTTTTCTCTTTCCTTTGGTTTTGGAATCAAAATGTCTTCTTTGTAGTTTTTGCTTTTCTACTTCCTTTGCTTCTTTGATTCCGTAGTGCTTTGTGCTTTTTGAGGTGGGACAAGATTAATTAAGAAAGAAAAGATCTAAATGGTGTCAGCTAAAAAAAAAATTCAGGAGTCTGCAAAAAGAACAGAGTTTATTGGGGGACTTAAGATTTGCAACTGGGGAGACTCAGATTTGGTAACCCTGAAAGAGTGTTCCAAGGAAGAGAAAGAATCAGGGCCTTATAAGGACAAAAAACCATGAAGTTGTTAAAAGTTGCCCTGTGAGAGTTGTGATCGACTCTAATCTAAATCAGAACATTTGTCCTTAAGAAATTGCAAGTTATTTTAGGGTAGGGATCCTATAAATATATAGACTATCACAAATTGTTTAAGGGTAAGGGCCTTTTAGTATCTTGATATTTTGGAGGTGTTCTGGGTGACTTTATCAGGCCAAAAGGTCTGAATCCATCCAGACTGAGTTGTGCAAACATGATACTTCCTTAGTGGCCTCCTAACTCCATTTTAGAGATGTCTCTTAGCAATACTGACTCCCATTTTGACTTTCACAATGATGGAGAAAGCCATTGCATTTTGGAGTATTGGGTTTTTATATGTATTTGTCTACTGATACATATGCCTGAAGAGTAGATATCAAAGATTGGAGTGTGGAGAGCTTTTTGTTGTTGCTTTAAATGATCACATATTTAATATTGACACTTCTTACTGGTAAACCTAACTATAATTTTGTAAAAGTCAAATAAGAATAACAATAGAAATGATTGAAGGTAGAAAGGCAAAGAGGCATGCATGATCTGATAAATAGGTCACTAGGCAAGAAGCCAGATTTCTGTTTTATTTTCATCTTTGGCATTAGCTGGTTATACACTTGCGGTCAAGTTCTATTTCCTGTAGGGTCTCTCGGTATCCTTCTGTGTGTGCTTCGTGTATGTGGGTGTGTGAAGAGGCTGCTGGGAGACCAGCAGTTTTCGTAACAGGACTGTTTGAGAAGCTGTGGGTTGTTTGAGAAACCCAGAATCTCACTCTGTTCTGGGATGTTGGAGCCTCCACTTTTGCAGCCGCCACCATTGCTGCATCTTTTGTACTCTGCCTCTCCTGTGGTCCCCTTAAGAAGGAGTGGTAGGTTGGAGAATACCTGTGTGTACTTTATAAGCAGTTCTAGGGTTTCAGAGTCCCACTTCATCCAGCCAGTCCCTCTGAAGATCATGTGTTTGTGGGGATAGTTACACAGCTGGATATTTTCTACCTTAAGTTTTAGCAGATGACCTCTGGGATATCTGAGTCTGTGTAGTCCCCCTGGTAAACTTTAGGCTGGTAAGGAATGACAGGGTTTCTCAAGGAGCAAAGCATCACCAAAGGTACACATAATGAATGGAGAGTGATAATATTTTTGAAAGATAATTTTAGGATGTCTCAGAGATGATACATTTATAGTTTCAAATTCTAACAGTGCACAGAGGTATAAAGAGAAAATTACCTCAGATTTTACCACCCAGAGATAACTAAGGCTGGGAAATTCACTTAGGCCTTTGCAAGTGGGCATCATTAGGGTAGTGGGGTCGGGCACACTTGATGTATAAAAGGGACTTTATCCAGAGACATAAGAGTGTACATTCCCTAACCTCCCAAGTCAGAATTCATCAGTTGCTGCCCCATCTTTAGGCATCAGAAGTCTGTGAAAAGCCCTTTGTTTCTTTTTACACCAACACATGAGCTCAGCTGGCCCTGAGCAAGTGAGAGTGCTGTGCTGCTTTTGTGAAGCTCTCTTTGTCCTGTGCTTCTCTTTTGGATTTCATTGTCTGAGCACAGGAAGGAGGCAGTTCCTCCACAACTGTGTTGGGGGAAGGGGTGTTCCTTCTTTCTGTCTTGAGTTCCTCTTTCTTTCCTTCTTTTTCAGGATACTTTTTCAGTAACTTTCCCCTAGTAATCTCTTGAGACTAACCAGTGAGGCTGTCTGTGATTTGGTGCTAGGGAAGTCAGGGCTGGGAAAGACCACTGTGACTTTTTGCAGGAAGGGATTTAGGAAACTTCTGTGGTTTGGGATATTCATGTGATCACTGCCCCAGAGTAGCTAAGTCTTCCCATGGCCTCTCCCGACGAGACAGAAGGTTAACTGAAGAAAACTGATCACTTGGGTTCAGTGCCTCTTCCAAGCTTCTTCTTGTTCCTCAAGCTGTTTGCAGGAGTTGGCCTCTTTTCAGATAAGGAAAGGGGTTTGAGGTAGATTTCAGTTTACTTCTGTTTGGCAGAGTCCTCTGTGTCCTGACAGGAAAGAGCATGAAACTGTTGTGTTAGACTGGTAGCTGAATGGCCTTTTCATTTTGCCTTCTTATCCCTACCAGCCTCAGCCCAACTCGGTGAAGAATGGCTAGTAGTGTTGTCTCAGAGGCTCCTGTCTTAACCTCAGAAGTGCGCCTGAGCTGCTTTCTTTTCTCCAGCTGCCTCTGTCCAGGAGTATCCGCAATATGTGGATACAGCATTTGGAGTTTATCAGATTCTTTGCAGATGTTCTGTGTTTGGTCAAGAGCAGTGGGAGAAATGGCAGCCAAGCATTGTTGAGTGGATATAGTGGTGTTTAGTTGCCTCTATGTTTCCTATTGAACAAACTGTCTTGTTCCCCCCTCTAAAGAGAGGAGAACCAAGAGGATAAATAAGTGCACTGTGTGCCTCTAGGGGGAGGGGTCACAGTGTTTTCTTCTGTTAGCTGTATGGGCAGGGCTTGTGAGGCAGGTGATTTTCAAGACTAGATGATTTAATTCTGTCTTTACTGTATTTTTTAATTGCCTGATCCTAAAGGCATTTATGATTTTAAAATCTTAAAGGAATAAACATAAAAGTAGGTGTTATTTTTAGGTGTTAAACATGTATTGGCTCTTTAACACGGAAGCATTTAACAAGGGTTTAAAGTTGTTTTCTAGTGGAGGAACTCTGGAAGGTAGAATTTAAAGTGATTCTTGTAATGTTTGGATCTTGGTTATGGGAAAGTTCTCTTTAGTTATGGATTTGTTAATGGAGTAATTTAAGCACTCAGCAAATATGTATTGAAAGAATGCATACATGGCACATGGACATGTTAAAACATGAAGTTTTCATAGATTGAGAGTTTGTGGAATAGTTAGATAAAGCTGGACTTACTGTACGGTCCGCCTGCCTCCTAGAATATAAGACTTACTGATACAGGGATAAATAGCAGAAACAGTAGAACAGCATTTTAATATATAATAAACATACCATGCCAAAGAACTTTTTAGTAATGGAGCTGGAAAAATTGCTTGTCCATAGGGAAGAAAGGATTCTTACCTTAATCGTATAACAAAATCAACTTGAGATGGAATAAGCATTTAAGTGTCAAAAGCAAAAATTTAAATCTTCTAGAAGAAAACAATATAATCTTGATCTCGGGGTAGGGACTTTGTGAACAAGATGAAGAAAACACTTTCCAGAAAATAAAAGATTAACAAATTTGATTTTTTTAATTAAGAAAAAGACATTTTAAAATGAAAAGATAAAAGCTAGGAGAAGATATGTGTAGGACACATACAGCCTATAAAGAGTTAGCATCAGGAGATTATAAAGAACTCTTGCAAATCGGTAAGAAGATGAGCAACCCAATAGATAAATGGGCTAAGCATATGAAGAGGGATTGCATAAAAAATACACATTTCTTGTAATCAGGAAAGTGTAAATTAAATGTACCCACTCAAGTGGAAACAATGGAAACAGTATCTGACTTTATTTTCATGTGCTCCAAAATTACTGCACATGGTGACTGCAGCCATGAAATTAAAAGATGCTCCTTGGAAGAAAAGCTGTGACCAACCTGCTGCTGCTGGCTGCTGCTGCTAAGTCACTTCAGTCGTGTCCGACTCTGTGTGACCCCATAGACGACTGCCTACCAGGCTCCCTCACCCCTGGGATTCTCCAGGCAAGAACACTGGAGTGGGTTGCCATTTCCTTCTCCAATGCGTGAAAGTGAAAACTGAAAGTGAAGTTGCTCAGTCGTGTCTGACTCTTAGCGACCCCCTGGACTGCAGCCTACCAGGCTCCTCTGTCCATGGGATTTTCCAGGCAAGAGTACTGGAGTGGGTTGCCATTGCCTTACCCATGACAAACCTAGGCAGCATATTAAAAAGCAGAGACATTACTTTACCGACAAAGGTCCATCTAGTCAAAGCTATGGTTTTTCCAGTAGTCATGTATGGATGTGAGAGTTGAACCATAATGAAAGCTGAGCACTGAAGGATGGATGTTTTTGCACTATGATGCTGGAGAAGACTTGAGAGTCCCTTGGACTGCAAAGAGGTCAAATCCTAAAATCCTAAAGGAAGTCAGTCCTAAATATTCATTGGAAGGACTGATGCTGAAGCTCCAGTACTTTGACCACCTGATGTGAAGAACTGACTAACTGGAAAAGACCCTGATGCTGGGAAAGATTGAAGGCAGGAGGAGAAGGGGACAACAGAGGATGAGATGGTTGGATGGCATCACTGACTTGATGAACTTGAGTTTGAGCAAGCGCCGGGAGTTGGTGATGGACAGGGAAGCCTGGTGTGCTGCAGTCCATAGGGTCGCAAAGAGTTGGACACGACTGAGTGACTAAACTGAACTCAAGTGGGTATATTAAGAAATCTGATGATACCAAGTTTTGGAAAATACTTGGGTTATTAGTAGGATCACTTTAGATTGTTGGCAAAAATATAAATTTTTATAACCACTTTGGAATGCAGCTAGGACTTATCTTGTAAAATTGAACATTTTGCATACCTTATGACATAGCAGTTTCACTCCTAGAATATAACCAAGAGAAGATCTTGCACATGTGTCCAAGAAAACATGTATAACAGTGTAAAAGCAATACACAGGAAGCTAGTTGAAGGCCTTTTGATGAGAAGATTGATAAATTGTATATATACCCAGTGGAATATTGTATAAGAGTGAAAATGAATAATGTGTGGTTACATAAAACAAAATGGCTGATTGTTAGTAACTTAATGTCGAGTGAAGAAAAGTAGTACCACAAGACTACTTAAAGGACAATGATCCTTTTACAGAATTTAAAACAAGCAAAAAATTTAAAGGCATATATACATATGTGATAAATGAAAAAAGGCAAAAAGATAACAAACATAGAATGCAGGATAGTGAAAAAAAAAAGAATTCAGGATAGTGATTACCTGGGGGTGAAACTGTGTAGGTTGGGGAGAAGTACATAGGTAGATAAAAATATTCGTAATTTCTAGTTTCTGGGTTGGACTGGTTAAAAAAAAAAATATCTTTAAGATTGTTCCCAGAAAGTTGTCAACTCACATTCCCAGTAACAGTGTTTGTTTCCTAGTAACTTTGCCAGTGTTGGACACTGTAAATCTTTTACATTTTTGCTAACCTAGTGGGTAAATAATATTTTGTTTGCATTTCTTGGTTTGTTAGTGAAACTGAATATCTTTTTATATATTTGAAATTAACAGAAATTTCTTCTGTTTGCCTTTCATAACCATTTTCCAGCTGGGTGAATTAGCTTTATCTCAATAATTTCTTTGAATATTAATCTTTTACATGTTATGTGTGACAATTATTGTTTCCCAGATTATTTCTGAATTCTTCTAATGGCAGTATCTATACAAGGCTTTTAACCTTTGTGACCATGGGGTCACAAGAGTTGGAAACGACTTAGTTACTACACCACCATCACCACCACCACCGCCAGAGTGTACAACGCCCAACTCTCTACCCTCAGGCATAATAGTAATCATTTATATTTCATTTTAATACTTGTGTGAATGTTTTTATTTTTTCACTTTTTGTTATGGAAAATGTTGAACATATGTAAAAATAGAGAGGCAAACATCCATCATTGCATAATAATAATCAACTCATGGCCATTCTTCTTTCTGTATCCTCCACCCTTTCCCCATTTATCCTACTGGATGAATCCTACTGGATTATTTTGAAGCAAATCTCACACAACATTATTAGGTCATCATATATTTCATATGTGTCTCTGAAAGGTAGAAATTCTTTTTTATGACAAAGTGGCTTTATTTATATTTAACTCTTCAGTCTATCTCAAATTTATTTTTGAGTATGATATTATACTTTTAACATTTCTAAATGTCCATTTGTCCCCAAAACATTTATTGAACGATCCATCCACAATAGATTGGTCTGTTCAAGACTTTTCTTTTCCAGCAGATTGTTGTTTTACGTTTGTATTAGAATCCAGCCAGGCAGTTCAGTTCAGCTGCACAGTTGTGTCCGACTCTTTGTGACCCCATGGACTGCAGCATGCTGGGCTTCCCTGTCCATCACCAACTCCTGGAGCTTGCTCAAACTCATATCCATTGAGTCGGCGATGCCATCCAACCATCTCATCCTCTGTTGCCCCTTCTCCTGCCTTCAATCATTGCTCGCATCAAGGTCTTTTCAAATGAGTCAGCTCTTCGCATCAGGTGGCCAAAGTACTGAAGCTTTAGCTTCAGCATCAGTCCTTCCAGTTGAATATTCAGGACTGATTTTCTTTGGGATTGACGTGGATCTCCTTGCTGTCCAAGGAACTCTCAAGAGTCTTCTCCAACACCACACTTCAAAAGCATCAATTCTTTGACACTTAGCTTTCTTTATAGTCCAACTCTTAGATCCATACATGACTACTGGAAAAACCAAAGCTTTGACTAGACTGACCCTAGTTGGCAAACTAATGTCTCTGCTTTTTAATATGCTGTCTAGGTTGGTCATAACTTTTCTTCCAAGTAGCAAGCATCTTTTAATTTCATGGCTGCAGTCACCATCTGCAGTGACTTTGGAGTCCAAGAAAAGAAAGCCTATCACTGTTTCCATTGTTTTCCCATCTATTTGCCTTGAAGTGATGGGATCAGATGCCATGATCTTAGTTTTCTGAATGTTGAGCTTTAAGCCAACTTTTTCACTCTCTTCTTTCACTTTCATCAAGAGGCTCTTTAGTTCTTCACTTTCTGCCATAAGTGTGGCCTCAGAATTTTCTTGGCTGTTTCTTTATTTTTTTTAGGTAAGATTCAGTCAGTTCATCAGATAGGCCCTTCATAAAAGTAAAAATCTTTCTGGGATTTAAACCGTTTTACATTAAATTTACAAATGTGGGGATTATTAGCATCTTTTCATTATGGAATTTTCCTATTTAATAATATATAGTGTGTACTTGTGTGTATATTCATTTATTGAAATTTTATATTCCACAGTGATAATAAGTGTCAGTTGACGTTTATTGTATGCCAGCACTGTCCTAAATCCTTGATGTTGATGGTCTCTTTATCCTTGTTATAACAAATGCTTAATTAAGCACATAATAATGCTCTGCAGTGAAGCAAATGACAATTATCTTGGCTACAATAGATTCATGGTTATAAGATAAATATACAAATCAGATAGAAGACTTTTCTAATTTAAAGCTGCATTACTCAAAAATTCCAACAGGGATGAGAATGAAATATTTAAGTTAAACTGAACAAGAAATGTATAAGACCTCTCAGGAGAAGAGTGGATGGTTAAGAGCTTGAGGGTACGACTGAAGTTAGGCTAAGTTCAAATCCCAGCTGTACTACTTACTAGCTGTGTGACTTTGGACAAGTTTCTTAACCTCTCTGTGTCAGTTTTTCTGTAAAATAAGGGTAACTATTGCCAGGTTGTTTTTTGTTTATCCAGATTACCTACCTCCCCAGCAGTGTATAAAGTACTGTCTCTCTGTAACCTCTCAGAAGCAGTCTTAAAGCCAGAAGAAAGCACAGAAATCAAGACCAGCCACCAAATCCTACAAATCAGGAATGAGGCTCAGAAAGGAATACTGGCATGCTCAGGGCCATGTAGGGAGATAGTGACAGAGTCTAATCTGGGACCCAGACTTTCTGACACTCTCCTAGTATTCTTTCTACTGTTGTAAGAATTTGTGAGTTCAGCAAATATTCTATGAGCATTTACTATGAAGAATTTGGTGCTATATGCTAAGCATCTATGTACTTATATAATCCTTATCACTAAGATAAGTATTTTTATCTTCATTTTATAACTGAGGAAACAGAGTTTCAAAACTTTCCCAAGATCCCAAGACTGGAAAGCATCAGGGCAGGATTGGAACTCAGGTCAACCTCCTTCCAGCCCGTCCTTATGCCACACCTAACTTATGCCCATTGCAGATGTTTGCTCTTTCCTGTCTTGTTCATTATTCCTCTGATAACTCTGGAGTTGTTCACAGTCCTCCTCCTGTTTTGACTACCAGGCTAACCTCTGCTTTGTGGACATTGACAACCATTTCATTGAGTTACCAGAGGACTTGCCTCAGTTTCCCAACAAATTGGAGTTTGTCCAGGAAGTCTCTGAGATTCTCATGGCATTTGGCATTCCTCCTGAAGGAAACCTTCACTGTAGCGAGAGTGCTTCCAAGCTGAAGAGGCTCCGGGCCTCTGAGCTCGTCTCTGACAAGAGGAATGGAAACATCGCAGGCTCCCCTTTACATTCCTATGAGTTCCTCAAGGAGAATGAAACTATCGCCCGCCTGCAGGCCTTGGTCAAGAGGACTGGGGTGAGCCTGGAGAAGGTAAGATGCTGTATATGGGTCTGAGCTAAGGTGATGACCTGGTGAAATAAAGTATAGGATAAGAAAGTACCCAGATCAGGGCAGTGCATACCTGTGAGTAGTGAAAGGATTCTTTGTGTGGGAGACTCTGGATTGGGCTCTGGCAAACATGATCCTATGTGAAGGCTACTTGAATCTAAATCTGGGTAGCTTTTCACTTGGACATCAAGGAGAAACTGCTGTCATTCTCTGAACACTGCAGCAGAGAGACTTGGAGGGATGATGGTGGCAGTCTGAGTTTGGACCTCTTTCAGATCCATTGCCAGGTGAGTGTCACAGCAACCTAGAGCACATAGAGCAGGAATTGTTGACTTAAGAGAGTCTGAGGGTTTTGCTTAAGATTAAATGCCTCTGTGTGGTTGACTTGAAGTTAGAACCTGGTCCTCTTGAATTCTAGGCCTCTGCTCTTCCCGGGGACGTATTAGCTTTCCATTGCCTGACTTTGATGAGACTGTCTGCTTTCCATAGCTGTTTACTCATCTCTTCACCCTCCCCATTCTCACTGTTATATCACTTTCTTAAATTACATATAAACAAAAATAGGGTAATCATTTTGTTGGGCTTTTTTTTTTTTTAGTGCAGTGTGAAACATGTCATTTTCCTGGTTTGTTAGTAGCACAGATATTAAAAAAGAAAAATAATGGCCAGTTAAAGAAGAGCAGAGAAATATTTAGAGAGATTAAAAAGGTTAAAAGAGACCAGTAAGGAAAAATTTTGGGGGATAAAGGGAACGTTAATATGGGGGAGAAAAAGAAATGAAGGGAGAACAAGAGTCTAACCTTGGTGCTTTGCATTATCATTTTCTTGTTGCCTTCCCAAATTTCTTCTTTCCTGACCCTTGAGATAACTAGTGCCTTTTCTTCTATTGCTATTTCTCTGCCTGTAATGAATTTCTCTCCACTTTCATTGAGTTGCTGGATTCCTGCAAGTGGAACACCCTCATTTATCTCTTCTTCATGTCAGAATTCCCCCCCCCCCATTTTTTCTTTGTTTTTTTTCTCCATTTGCTACAAAGTAAATGACTCTTGTGGGGAAAAAAGGATGAGTTGCCTTTCTTTGGGATAAAAAGAAAAATTTTGGTGTTCTCAACTGTTTTATTTTGTTTTGTTTTTGTAGCTGGAAGTTCGGGATGACCCCAGCAGCAATAAGGATCTCAAAGTTCAGTGTGATGAAGAAGAACTCAGAATTTATCAGCTAAACATTCAGATCCGGGAAGTTTTTGCAAATCGTTTCACTCAGATGTTTGCAGATTATGAGGTGTTTGTCATTCAGCCCAGCCAGGATAAGGAGTCCTGGTTTACCAACAGGGAGCAGATGCAAAATTTTGATAAAGTAAGTATTAATATAGTCCTGCTGGGGAGGTGGTAAGAAATGAGAACATGTGAGACTCTTAAAGATGTGACTGAAGATGAGGTTTTCTTCCATAAAACGTGCTAGAAACAAGTTCTTGGTCCTTGTGATGTTGGTAAAATGTTTGGTTGCTTTAGAGCAGAGTGCTGGTTTTTGCTATCAGGTGATTTACCTTCAGTCAGAGCTCTTTTAGGCAAAGATGCACATGCAGGTTGAACATTAGGATTCTGGGAATGTTGATTGCCACGGTAGGTTACCTGAGTAAGTTTAGGCCAGTGTGTCAAAGTTTCAGGATATCTGAAATATGTAAATTTTTTAAAATGATGAAGAGGTTTTGCGCTTTGCTTTTTATAAAGACCTGGGAAGCTTCAGAGAACAATTAACCTACTGAATCCCATGGGTATGTAGGCTTGGCTGATTGAGGCTGACGTGACCTCTTCCCTCTCGATGACTCTCTGTTTCCTTTTGGTTCCACCAGGCATCTTTTCTGTCAGATCAGCCTGAGCCCTACCTGCCTTTCCTCTCAAGATTCTTGGAGACTCAGATGTTTGCTTCTTTCATTGACAACAAAATCATGTGTCATGACGATGATGATAAAGATCCTGTGCTCCGGGTGTTTGACTCCCGAGTAGACAAGATCAGGCTGTTGAATGTTCGGACACCTACTCTGCGCACATCCATGTACCAGAAGTGTACCACTGTGGATGAAGCAAGTGAGGCCTCCTTGTTGCTAGCTTTCTAGCCTCTTGGATTATATCACTAACATGTCCTTATTCCTAAACATGCCAGCTTCTTTCTCTTGTTTTCTCCTTTTTGCATAAGTTGTTCCCATTGCCTGTAATGCTTTCCTCTTTTTTGCCTGGCAGACTTTTTCTCATCCTTTAACACTGTGTCAGTTAAGAATGGGTCCTGCTGTAAGTACTAGAGAATCTAATTAGCAGTACATTAAATAAATGGGGGTTATTGTTCTCAAATTATCAAGAAGGGTAGAATTGGTGGTTGTTCGGCTGCTCAGCAATGTAGGAAATGAAATTCTATCTTTTCACTCCAATATCCTTAACATGTTGACTTTTATTATATTCATGCTTATTGCCTCATTGTTACAAGAGGCCTTCTATGTTCACATTCAGGGCAAAGGGGAAAGTTGATGCCAGCTGTTTTTTCCCTCTTATATCAGAAAGCAAAAGCTTTCCCAGAAATTCCCAACAGCTTCTGTTGTCTCATAAAAGCATATTATGTGACTACCATTAAGTGCAAGGGAGGCTATGAAAGTGAGTATTGACCTGGTGTAATATTAGCCCAAACTGTATTGAGATTCTGTTAGCAAGAAAGAAGGGATGAGTGAGTTATGGGTAAGTAAGCTGCTAACAGAAATCCAGCTGATGTTTCTCTTCCTCTGAAGTCTTCTCTGATGTGCTCAGGCTGAGTTGATTTCTTTGCTAAGCTCTGTGGTGCCTTGTTCTTGCCTCCCCTTTATAATCTGTATTCTGAGGTATCATTATCAGGGAGCAATTTAAGATCTGAGATTGTATTTACTCATTGTCTTACTCCCAGTCCTCTAACATTGTACCTAGAACATATAGATGTTAAAAGTTGTTTGCTACTTGCATGGTGGAGTATACCTTTTTGTTTACAGAGATTCTGTCTGGATCACTTTAGCTAGAGAATAGTCTCAGCCTGAGGTGTCAAATTAAGTAGTGTGCTCACTTCCATGAGTGATATTCAGTGTCCTTGTAGCTTATTGGTATGTTTTGTTTGTTCATTTACTAAATGTAAATACTTCATGCCCAGTGTATGGTAAGTGCTTACTGAATGAATGAATGAATGTGCCAGGCATTTTTTTAGGTTTTGAAGATACAAGTGGTGACAGTTTGGACAATGTCCTGGCTTCCTCAACCTTATGCTTGGTAGCCTTCTGACTTTATCTTTCAGCTCATGCTCCAGGCCTTTCATTAAGATGATAGTCCTCTTGGCCAAGTCTTGAGGACATGTTGCCCATACAGGTAGAGTACTCTGACATAGTCATCTTTGCCTCCTAGAGCACATCCAGTTTTAGATTCTAGAACCCTACCTAAGGCTTTGGTCCTGGGGAGCAAAGTGATCTCCTAAACCATCACTTTAAAGCAGGACTTCCCAATCTTTTCATGTTGTGTTACACTTGAAAGTGACAATATTTATATATGGCTTTGAGAGCCCAGGTCTACCACTTAAGGCCAAGAAGCCTTGAATTTGGGCCTGCTTGGTCAGGATGCATGTCCTCTTCCCAGGAGACCCACATCCTGAAGTGTCCTCCAGGTCTGCCTGTTAGAGCTGGTTAGGCTGGTCCCCCATGGAGCAGGGATTGCATGCCCACACACATGTGCCTTGGTGCTGTGTGCAGAGCTGGCCTGCCTGGGTATATGTCTGTTTCTGCAGCCAAGGGTGTCCAGAGCAGGAGCCTGCTTTTGTAGATAGCTCTGTGGTTTCAGAGGGCTTCCCAGGTGGCGCTAGTGGTAAAGAGCCTGCCTGCTAATACAGGAGGCATAAAAGATGCAGGTTTGATCCTTGTGTCAGGAAGATCCCCTGGGGGAGGAAATGGCAACCCACTCCAGTATTCTTGCCTGGAGAATCCCATGGACAGAGGAGCCTGGCAAGCTATAGTCCATAGAGTCACAAAGAGTCGGACACAACTGAAGCGACTTAGTGTAACATTGTGGGACTAAAGGGAGGAGTCTGCTTGTACTGGGGACTAAAATGAGAGGCTGTAGTGACTTGAGGCCTTGTTCTCCTGCCCAGAGGTTGAAGCAGTCAGTCCTCAGCCCATCTGTAATTCATTTGTTGAACACCAAATACTGATATGAATTACTCTGGTCTCATTTGTGGCCAGAACATGAATTCTTGTGGTCTTGTTAGAATGTGGGGTTTGGGATATGGAAGGAGAGCTAACTAACCCTCATTTCTGTGACTCATTTCAGAAAAATGAGTATCAAAGACCCTCCATGCAACTACACACTCTGTTCCCAGGAGTAATGCCATTGGTATATTCCTGAGATATGTACTCCAGCAATGCTCATTCAGGGTTCTTCTCTCTGGCTTCAGATTTCTAGCCTAGAGTAGCTCAGCTATCTCATCTCATTCTGCATGGACATTTCAGTTTCTTGAATCAGTCTGGAAAACGGTAAACACATAGCTAACGGCAACTTTTTAGAGATTCTTTAAAACGTGACACTTAGATGGGATCTTGGAAATTCTTTTTTAAAGAATGAAGTTCCACAAATTTTGTTATCTTGTGTTTTCCTTTTTATTTAGCTCAAAATACTTTATTTCCTTTTTTGATTTATTTTATGACCGCTGGTTTATTTAGAAATGTGTTATTTAGTTTTAAGGTATTAATGATTGTTGTTGGTCACAGGACTTACTTTGTCTGATTGAAGTTATTTCAGATTTATTGAGACTTGTTTTATTGCCTAGAATTTGATACATTTTTTTAAAGTAGTAGACTTTCTTTTTCATTCTTATCCAGAGAAAGCAATTGAGCTTCGACTGGCAAAAATTGATCATACTGCGGTTCACCCCCATTTACTTGACATGAAGATTGGACAGGGGAAGTATGAGCCAGGCTTCTTCCCTAAGCTGCAGTCTGACGTGCTTTCCACTGGGCCAGCCAGCAACAAGTGAGTCAACCCCAGAGATTCCCTGGTCCAGATCCCAGATCACAGTGGTCATACAGTATCTGGACCTAGACTCATTTCTAGGAGACCTTGACTTTTGTAAAGCAGATGTGGAGAAGATACAAACTGTCCAGGTTGTTCATTTGTTTAAACAAGGAAACAGGTGAGAGATCATCATCAGCTCCCGTCTCCACTGTGCAAATTGGGATAGCTCCATGTATCAGCACCTGTAAAAGGCCAGACTGCAGATGGGTTGAAATCATCTGCAAATCTCATAACTAGACCCAGACAGCACCTAGCTAGCACTGTAAGCGGTGGAGTAGAGTAAGTGATGGTTGAAATAATTGGAGTCTGACCTGAAACTCAGTAACTTAGCAGAATTTTTCTTTCTTTGTTAACTTTTGGAGATAAGTTTGTCGGAGGCCAGGCAGATATGAGTGAAAATAGTTTTGGATCTGCAAGTGAAGTTTCTGTAGATGTTTCAAGAGAGAGAACATCTCGATTCCGTGGAAAAATATCTCCTTATTGCCCAGTCACTGATCTTTAAGCTGCCCTTATATCAAGGTTTCTGAGCTACCTCTGGTGACTTCTTGGTAGCTTCCCATTGGTTCTTAGGTATTTAAGTTTTCTCCTGTAAGTTGACCTTACTTTCTTAGCAGAATATTCTTAATTGTCTGCTTTGATTCTGTCAGGTGGACAAAAAGGAATGCTCCTGCCCAGTGGAGGCGTAAAGACCGGCAGAAGCAGCACACAGAACACCTGCGTTTAGACAATGACCAGAGAGAGGTAAGATACCCTGAGAATGATAAGAAATGACTCTGTTACCATGCTGTACCCTCCTCTTTCTTACGTCCTTGGTCTCTGATCTGATTCAGACATCCTTCCCACAGGGAAGAGTTAATAATGAGTTAGTTCCTGATACCTGATATGGGCCTGGCTTGTGACAAATCTAGAATGTACAGTGGTTCACAAGTGGCAACAGCCACTAACCACGTGCATCCTCTTTCTGAGCCAGAGTTGCAGTTGTGTTTAGTGATACTCCCAATACTTGGAAGAAAGCCTTTCACTATTGTTTCAGTAGTCACTCATGCATGATACTGACTCTCTCCCAGGTTTAGGGAGAGTGGTAGGGGTGACAGGAACATCAGGAGATAGATTCTGCAACTTGGAAAAATTCCTTTGAAAATTCTTGAGGCTTTTGTGTGTGTCTGGTATGATAGAAAATAAGTTAATTTGTTAAAGTGAGATGGAGGAAAAGCTGAACTTGGGTTAATGCTATAAACCTCTGAACCTGGGGAGGAGAAACCTTTTTTACTTATTTTTTTTCTTCATCTTAATTTAAAAGAGGTAATCTTGACTTTTTTCTCAGAGGAGCCAAGGGAATATTATTATCAGGTGCCTGGGGATTGAGGATTCTTGAATTGACCTGAGTCCTCATTGCTTGTAAGCAGAGTTTCTCAGCACTGCTATAACTTGTTCCCAGTAAAGTTTCTAGTTATAAACCTCAAGTTGCAGACCCTGCCTTACTGAGTTGCAATGAAGTTGTGAAAATGGAGCTTAAGCTTCAGAAACCTATTTCAGCAACTTCTCTTTAAGAAAAGACCCTGCAGTTTGCATTTTATACAAAGTCAAGTAAAGCATATTATTTTTATATATGTCTAGCACCACAGTGGATGGGAAAATATTTTGCTTTTGCTGTTTCTTAAATATGAATAAATTAAAATCGCAAAGTATGGTCATGAATTTTAAACTGCTGGTTTATAGGGCACAGTTGTACTTAGTGTTTTTGTGAGGAAGGCATAATGGGTGTAGGGTGAGGGTGTTATTTTTAAAGTCTTCTCTAGGGCTTCCACCTAACCTCCATAATATTTCTTTCAGCAGGGTTTATTGAGCATGTTTTCTTGGTCAAAATCACTATAGTAAACACTTTGAAATATAAAAATGACAAGGAGATAGCCTTGTCCTCAGGGAATGCCAGTTTATTAAGGGAACAAAGGCAGGTATGCAGCTGTCTTTAGTAGAAGAGTCTTTTGAAAGAGCTGTATGGGAGGCATGCCAGTGTTTGATTACTGATTAGAGAAATTAGAGTTCCATTCTGTCTGGGATAATCTCAAACAAGACTGCCTAGAGGAACTAGCATCTGTTTTAGTCTTGAGAATGATAGGATTGTTAGGAACAAAGATGAGCATTGCAAGTAGAGGAGATGGCAGGACCCAAAGTGTGGTGGTGGATTGTGTAAAGGAGACTGTGGGCAGAATATTTTGGAAGCAAGAGGTACTGGAGGTAGCTAGCAAGTTAGGAAGCAGATAGCAGTAGTGCTGCTGCTGCTAAGTCGCTTCAGTCATGTCCGACTCTGTGCGACCCCTTAGACGGCAGCCCACCAGGCTCCCCCATCCCTGAGATTTTCCAGGCAAGAACACTGGAGTGGGTTGCCATTTCCTTCTCCAATGCATGAAAGTGAAAAGTGAAAGTGAAGTCGCTCAGTCGTGTCTGACTCTTAGCAACCCCATGGACTGAGCCCACCAGGCTCCTCCATCCATGGGATTTTCCAGGCAAGAGTACTGGAGTGGGCTGCCATTGCCTTCTCCTAGCAGTAGTGCAGGTGATAGTAATTGAAGCCTAATCTTGAGGGTTGGAAGTAGGGGCAAATGAGGGGCCAGAAGATAGAACAGACAGAATTGTACTTCTGGAATAAACATGGGCAAGAAAGAAGTTGAGTACAAATGTTGGTTATGAAATTGGGGTTCCGAGAAGGTGTCAGTGAACAGTTCATTGCATTGGTGTGGGTTCTGTGTTAAAACAGACAGCATGTAGGGAATCACCAGCAAATTATAGAAAAGCAGAAAATACAGTTGTTTTGAGTGTGCACTCATGCAAGAGTACTTCATGCAAGATGCCAGACTGGGTGAAGCACAAGCTGGAATCAAGATTGCCAGGAGAAATATCAGCAACCTCAGATATGTGGATGATACTACGCTAATGGCAGAAAGTGAAGAGGAACTAAAGAGCCTCTTGATGAAAGTGAAAGAGGAGACTGAAAAAGCTGGCTTAAAACTCAACATTTAAAAAACTAAGATCACGGCATCTGGTCCTATCACTTCATGGCAAATAGGTGGGGAAAAAGTGGAAGTAGTGACAGATTTTATTTTCTTGGGCTCCCAAATCACTGCAGATGGTGACTGCAGCCATGAAATTAAGAGACGCTTACTCCTTGGAAGAAAAGCTATGACAAACCTAGATAGCATATTAAAAAGCAGAGACATCACTTTGCCAACAAAGGTCCGTCTAGTCAGAGCTCTGGTTTTTCCAGTAGTAGTGTATGAATGTTGAATGTTGGACCATAACGAAGGCTGAGTGTTGAAAAATTGATGCTTTCAAATGGTGGTGCTGGAGAAGACTCGAGAGTTCCTTGGACAGCTAGGAGATCAGACCAGTCAATCCTAAAGGAAGTCAGCCCTGAATATTTTGGAAGGACTCATGCTGAAGCTCCACTGCTTTGGCCACTTGATGCAAAGAGTGGACTCATTGGAAAAGACCCTGATGCTGGGAAAGATTAAAGGTAAAAGGTAAAGGGAGCAGCAGGCGATGAGATGATTAGCGTCACTGACTCAATGGATATGAATCTGAGCAAACTCCAGGAGATAGTGAAGAACAGGGGAGCTTGGCGTGCTGCAGTCCATGGGGTCACAAAAAGTCATAGACAACTTTACAACAGTTTAGCAAAGATGGATATCTTTGATATGAGCAGAGGGATTAAATTCCTCCCAACTTGATGGGGAAAGTGATTTTTTCAATAGTATGGGGAAAGTGATTTTTTCAATAGTACTCTGAGATTAGAGTTGGTTTGTTCACGCATAGGAGTTTGCACACTCATACATGTTGCAGCTGTGTGTTTTTTACCTTTTGTGTCATTAAAGCCAAGATAATTCCAGCACTCATGGAGTGCTTTATGTCAGAAAAAGCAGAATTCACCCTGTTCTCTTAGTTTTCCCTAAGATACAAGTGTTGCTTTTTAAACTTTGCCCTGAGCCTAAGAATGAGGCAGTAAGATAGTGCAGGGTGATAGTGCCCTCTTCAGGCACCCATCTGTACTGGTTGCCTGTGATTTGTATGTTTGGGCACAAAGTCTTTGATTTTTCCTTTTGCTTTAGAAGTACATCCAGGAAGCCAGGAATATGGGCAGCACCATCCGCCAGCCCAAACTGTCCAACCTCTCCCCGTCAGTGATTGCCCAGACCAACTGGAAGTTTGTGGAAGGTCTGCTGAAGGAGTGTCGCAACAAGGTGAGCTGTGGACTCTTCTGAATGTGTATTTTCCTTGGCAGCCAAAGTGGAGACCACGGCTTAGCTCTGACCATCCTTCTCTTGATTTTTAAAATATTATTAATATAATGATATAGTACTAATGATCCTGTTAACTTGGAGTTAGATGTATTTGTTTTACATAAAATGTAACATTGATTGAGAGCAAGCATAGTTTGCTTGATAAAAATTTAATAGGTATTCTTTAAAGCTGAGAGACAGTGGTAGTTTTTAATTTTAGACATCTTGTGTTACTTACTTAAAATCATTAGTTTTAATGTAGTTAAATTGTCAACAGATTCATTTTACACATATAGGCAAATATTTTTGCCCCTCTAATTTAATCTGATGACACTGATCTCATGTGTTTAGAAACAAAAGAGCTCACTGAGTGCCTACTGTGTGTCAGACCAAAGTGTGTTATTCAGTTTGTTTGCTGTTGGCATGTTTTTTGCCATTCTATAAGAATAGTACTTTTTTTTAAAAGGTATTTTATTGAGATGTAATTGCTGTATTAAAAATGGCACACATTTATGTATATGTTTTGATCATTTTTTTTGAGGTATCTATAGGTGATTTTAAAATTTTTTAAAATTTATTTATTTTTAAATGGAGAATAATTGCTTTACAATATTTGTTTCTGCCATATAGCAACACAAATTGGCCATAGGTATACGTGTATCCATATGCATACACTGGTGATACCGCTAGCACAATCAGGATGTCTGTCACTTCCAAAAATTTCCTTATATTCTTTTGCAATTTTTTTTTTGGGTGCTAAGAATGCAGCATGAAATTTATCATCTTAACATATTTTAAATTGCACAACAGATCTGTTCAGTGTGCATGAACATCACAGACATAAAGTTGAGTGAAAAAGAAGAGAAAAGAAACTACATTTGTTAATCATTTCCTTGCTTTTCTGTAGTTTTATTGTGTAAGTCAGGACAGTGATCACTTCTAGAGTGAGAAGGTGATTGGAGAAGGCACATAGGGTTCTTCAAAGGTATAGATAGGCATTATTTTTTTTCTTTAACTTAGGTCATGTTAGTCTAATAGTATACACTCACATAAACACATATGTATATGTATATGAGATATATTTCACAATAAAAATGTTAAAAATAGTAGCACTGGAAAAGAAGTATGCCAAAGTGTTAAGAGTTGTTGCTTCTGCAAGGTAGAGTATGGGGTGATTTTTTTCCTTGCTCAGATTTTTATATGTCACACATTTATAACATGATTAAATCTTCCTTAAGAACTTGGATTCAATATTCAGGCAGCTTTAGATTCAAAGACCAGATGTGCTGCTACTGTGCTGTGTGAATTTGGGCAAGTTACTTAAGTTCTCTGACCTCAATTTCATTATCAATAAATTGTGAAAAATAATAACTTCTTACAGAGCTATTTGGCTTAACTGAGGTAATGTTATACTTAGTACAGTGCCTGGCCCATAGTAATGAAACCTGCAATTATCATTATACAGCATGGTTTTTGTTTTACAGTGAGCACATGAAAATTTTTTAACCTAAAAGTAAATTACTCCTCAACTTTTTATCCCCTTGGCAGGTACTTCAGATATATTTCTAGGATTAAATGCTTTTAAAGATTTGTTTAAAAGGTCAATTAGGCAATGAGAATCAGAGAATGTCTGAGGTGAGCATGACCAAAGGGTTTTATTCAACTCTTCTCATCTCATAAGTAAAAAAACTGAATCCAGAGTGATGAAATCACATGTCCACGGTCAGTGATTTCTGTGTTTTATCTTCTTTAAAGAAGGCACTTTACTATATAATCTGACTGATATGGTGAAAAATAAACACACTCTTTACCTGTGGGTCTTCCTCTCAGCCCAACAGATGTACCTGGCAGGTGGCCACAAGCCTGTCTAGTTGAATGTGATCTGGCTGACTTGTGGGTGTCTTATCTTACCAACTGATTTCTTATAGACCAAGAGGATGCTGGTGGAGAAGATGGGGCGAGAGGCTGTGGAACTAGGACATGGGGAAGTGAACATCACAGGGGTGGAAGAGAATACCTTGATTGCCAGTCTTTGTGACCTACTGGAAAGGATTTGGAGTCATGGGCTACAGGTGAAACAGGTAATGAATGTCTGGCCTCTCCCTTTTGAGCAGACTGTCTTCCTATTTTTGCATACTAGTTTCCCCACTTTTCCAGCTGGCTGGCTTTGAAGAATGGCACATGGTGCTTGTGGAGTGAGACTTGAAATTGATTTTTTTTTTTGGTACAGAAAATTGTACACCTAATTGTCAATTTTATGGTAATATGAATTATGTCTCAATAAAGGTTTTCTTTTTTTTTTCAATTCAAATAGGATCATCCTATACATAGTATTTTGGAACTTGTTTTTTCTTGCCTCAGAATGTCTTCTCCATGTTCTTAACTAATTTGGGTGATAGTGTAGTAAGTATTTAAGAGCTGAGGCTATAAATCAGATAGTCCTGGTTTAATTCCTGCTTCCGGTCTGTGAAACTGAGCACGATACCTAGCTTCTGTAAGATTCTCTTTCCTCGTGTCCATGATGGAATTGTAAAAGAATACATCTCCATAGGACTCTTATGAAGATTTGAAAAGATAATTTGTGTGAGCACTAAGTTCAGAGCCTGTTATCTGGGAGGTTCTCTAAAAATGTTTGTGGTTATTCTTCTTATAAAAGTTCAGTTTTAATTACTGTTTTCACTGTATAGATGTGCAATACTTAAATCAGTCCTTTATTATTGATTATCTTATTTCTGATTTATCAGTATTAAGAACAGCACTGTGACTTTTAAAAGTAAGCTTTAAAACATAAGCTTTTAAAAATGTTAATAATTGTGTATCACATCCCTAAAATGTTGAGAGTTTTGTAGTAGAGTAGCAACACTATAGGCATTGGAATCAGAAAGACTTGGTTTTTAATCCTAGCTCCTCTTGATAACTTTAAGTGACTTGCAATTTCTGAGTCTCATCTTCCTTATCTATACTGCAGAGTTAATAAAACCTAGCTTTCAGGGTTGTTATGATAATTAGATATGGTTAAAAAAAAAAAGTACCTGGCATGTGGTAGGTATGCAACATACAGTACCTCTTATTAGTCCAGGTTCTACGTGATGGATTTATGTTTCTTTCCTTTTCTCTGTAATAAATGAGTAGACTACATATGATCATTTTATCATTTTCTTTTAAGTTTAGCAAGCCTGGCAATATAGTTGAGCTCTTTCAGTTTTTTAGTAAAATATATGCTCCCCCCACCCTACCCCCCAAACTTTATTCTCCATAAAAGTCTTCAGGGAGTTAGGCATTAAAAAATAGTAATACCATATCATCACAGGTGTCTTAAACTTGTCCCCTGAGGCTTTGCAACCGTATCCTTTAGGAATTCCCACAGCCTGGGGAATATTGTTTGGAGCCCGTTTGATCCCCCTCTCATTCTGGATAGACGGAGGCTACTTACTGGTGAGCAACCAGTACAGAATAGTGGGAACTTTTCAATTGAGCTTCCATTTTGTTCTGAGTTCTGCTTTTGGAGCTCTAAATGTGAAGCACTGACAGCGTCACAGAAGGAATTGAAGATCTGTGCCTTCTGGCAGGGACACATGTTCAGCTGGGGATTGAAATCCCTACAGCGTGTTCTCCTTAGGCCTCCATTTTGTTAACCTTCGTTTAGACCACTTTTCTCTCCTGCTGAGAAATTCTTCAGTTACCTTTCAGTCCAGGGATTATAACCTGGCTCCCTGGTCCCCTCAATCATGTGATCATCTCAGTCCCCTCTGGGGGCACCTTGTTGAACAACTACTTACCTGCTGAGAAAGTCAAAGAGAACGCAAACTCAGTTTGTTACCAGCTGCCTGCCTGAAAGTCTGCCTACAGCAAGTCCTCATAAGAACCTGTGTTAACCTCACCACCCTCTTTGGCTTCCAGTGACATTTTCCAAGGATATGGACTTTCTTTAGTATATTTTTCTGAGGTTTGGTTTTTTTATACTGGTTTAGTAACTGCTGCCATTTCAGGACTGGTCAGTGAAAAGGGGTTGTTTCTCATCTTTCATGCGTGTGACATTCTTGGAGAATCTGGTGCTATATATTGTTTGGCCACATTCCCAAATGGGTAGTTGGGCTGTATTGTGAATCTTGAAGTCCCGGTCAGCCCCTTTGCAATCACTGAGCGCCTGGGTGTCCTGGCACCGTGGCTGGTGTTGCTCTTGCCTTTGGCTCTTTGGCGTCATTACATGTGAGGAGTCTGGTGACCAGCTGTATTTCTGTGTCACATCTAGACAGTTGTGTTAAAGGAGGCTGCCTTCTTAGTCTGCCTAGATTTAGGGGATACAGTGATGAATAAGGCAGTCTCTGCTTTTTCAGGAGCTAATAATGGTTTTGGTAAATGGATGGATATATGGGTTTCTAGAAGTTGAATTAACTAAATCAAAGACCGTGAATATTTTGAGCTCTCATATTGTTTTCTACTTATATAGTATTAATATGCCAGTTTGTAACAATATAAGAATTGTAAGTCTCATTGGTTTTGTTGAACATCTGTTTTCTCAAACATTTGGTATTTCAGTGAATTTAAAAAATGGTCTTTTCTAGTTGTGTGTTTTTTAAAAAACTGCCATTAAGGTTGTTGGGTTTTAAGTTGGTTAAATCTTGTAGGAAATCCAAACAGACAGAAAGTTCATGTCAACAGCTTGCTGATCTGTAGATGGGGGAGTTTTCCCATTCAAATGCTTGATTTCCACCCCCCGCCCAATCAGGTTAATTGGTGGATAAAAATAAAACAGATTCTTCATATTCTCATGGGAAAAATCTTGAGACTTAATTCCCCACATTCATTCCCAAATGTAAAATTTTCTTCAGAAAATAAGCTTTAGAAGTTCAATGCTGTCTTTCAGAAGCTCCTCGTATAGCATCATTATTAACAGTAATGGTTCTAATATTAGCTGTACTTAAACTTGTCCCAATATTCTACTTACTAGTTGTATGATCTTTTACAAGTTACTTAGTGGATTCTCAGTTTGTTCTTTTCCACCTCCCAGAATATTGGAAATAAAAGCAAAAATAAACAAATGGGACCTAATGAAACTTAAAAGCTTTTGCACAACAAAGGAAACTATAAGTAAGGTGAAAAGACAGCCCTCAGATTGGGAGAAGATAATAGCAAATGAAGCAACAGACAAAGGATTAATTTCAAAAATATACAGGCAACTCCTGAAGCTCAATTCCAGAAAAATAAATGACCCAATCAAAAAATGGGCCAAAGACCTAAACAGACATTTCTCCAAAGAAGACATACAGATGGCTAACAAACACATGAAAAGATGCTCAACATCACTCATTATCAGAGAAATGCAAATCAAAACCACAATGAGGTACCATTACACGCCAGTCAGGATGGCTGCTATCCAAAAGTCTACAAGAAATAAATGCTGGAGAGGGTGTGGAGAAAAGGGAACCCTCTTACACTGTTGGTGGGAATGCAAACTAGTACAGCCACTATGGAGAACAGTGTGGAGATTTCTTAAAAAACTGGAAATAGAACTGCCATATGACCCAGCAATCCCACTTCTGGGCATATACACTGAGGAAACCAGATCTGAAAGAGACACGTGCACCCCAGTGTTCATCGCAGCACTGTTTATAATAGCCAGGACATGGAAGCAACCTAGATGCCCATCAGCAGACGAATGGATAAGGAAGCTGTGGTACATATACACCATGGAATATTACTCAGCCATTGAAAAGAATTCATTTGAATCAGTTCTAATGAGATGGATGAAACTGGAGTCCATTATACAGAGTGAAGTAAGCCAGAAAGATAAAGACCATTACAGTATACTAACACATATATAGGGAATTCAGAAAGACGGTAATGATAATCCTATATGCAAAACAGAAAAAGAGACACAGATGTACAGAACAGACTTTTGGACTCTGTGGGAGAAGGCGAGGGTGGGATGTTTCGAGAGAACAGCATGTATATTATCTATGGTGAAACAGATCACCAGCCCAGGTTGGATGCATGAGACAAGTGCTCGGGCCTGGTGCACTGGGAAGACCCAGAGGAATCAGGTGGAGAGGGAGGTGGGAGGGGGGATCAGGATGGGGAATACATGTAACTCCATGGCTGATTTATGTCAATGTATGACAAAACCCACTGCAATGTTGTGAAGTAATTAGCCTCCAACTAATAAAAATAAATGAAAAAAAAATTAAAAAAATAAAGAAAATGAGGATAGAGGTACCTACATTGTAGGATTGTTGGAAGCATTAAATAAAATATTGTATTTTAAACTTTTAACATAGTGCTTAGTTCATAGAAAATGTGAAGACATGGTAGTTTCTGTCATTATTACTCTTGTAAAATATAGCACTAAATCACTTGTAAAATGACCATAATAATTCCTATTATTAAAGTTATACTACATTTATATTATATCTGCTATGTAAGAATGTTTATCGTGAACCTGAAGTAAATTTTTAATCCTGTAACAAGTTAACATAGAGACAAGGGTTTCTGTACAGAAGGATGACTAGACTAAGGAAACAAAGCAGTTGTTAGGTGACCAACTGGGCTCACTTACTTTATAAGCAAATTGCTCCCTTAACATCAGGCTTGAAAATGCTGTTCAGATTTGTGTCTTGGTAAAATGATAAAATGCAAAAGTAGTAAGTAAAGAAACACCTTGAGTAACAGGCAAATTTGGCCTTGGAGTACAGAATGAAGCAGGGCAAAGGCTAATAGAGTTTTGCCAAGAGAACACACTGGTCATAGCAAACACCCTCTTTCAACAACACAAGAGAAGACTCTACACATGGACATCACCACATGGTCAACACTGAAATTAGATTGATTATATTCTTTGCAGCCAAAGGTGGAGAAGCTCTATACAGTCAGCAAAAACAAGACCAGGAGCTGACTGTGGCTCAGATCATGAATTCCTAATTGCCAAATTCAGACTTAAATTGAAGAAAGTAGGGAAAACCACTAGACCATTCAGGTATGACTTAAACTGAATCCCTTACGATTGTACAGTGGAAGTGACAAATAGATTTAAGGGACTAGATCTGGTAGAGTGCCTGATGAACTGTGGACGGAGGTTCATGACATTGTACGGGAGACAGGGATTAAGACCATCCCCAAGAAAAAGAAATGCAGAAGAGTGAAATGGCTGTCTGAGGAGGCCTTACAAATAGCCGTGACAAGAAGAGAAGTGAAAAGCAATGGAGAAAAGGAAAGATATATCCATTTGAATGCAGAGTTACAAAGAATAGCAAGAAGAGATAAGAAAGCCTTCCTCAGTGATCAGTGCAAAGAAATAGAGGAAAACAACAGAATGGGAAAGACTAGAGATCTCTTCAAGAAAATTAGAGATACCAGGGGAACATTTCATTCAAAGATGGGCACAATAAAGGACAGAAATGGTATGGACCTAACAGAAGCAGAAGATATTAAGAAGAGGTAGCAAGAATACACAGAAGAACTATACAAAAAAGATCTTCATGATCCAGATAATCACGATGGTGTGATCACTTACCTAGAGCCAGACATCCTGGAATGTGAAGTCAAGTGGGCCTTAGGAAGCATCACTACAAACAAAGCTAGTGGAGGTGATGAATTCCAGCTGAGCTATTTCAGATCCTAAAAGATGATGCTGTGAAAGTGCTGCACTCAATATGCCAGCAAATTTGAAAAATGCAGCAGTGGCCACAGGATTGGAAAAGGTCAGTTTTCATTCCAATCCCCAAAAAAGGCAATGCCACAGAATGCTCAAACTACCGTACGGTTGCGCTCATCTCACAGGCTAGTTACAAAATGCTCAAAATTCTCCAAGCCAGGCTTCAGCAATACGTGAACTGTGAACTTCCAGATGTTCAAGGTGGTTTTAGGAAAGGCAGAGGAACCAGAGATCAAATTGCCAACATCCGCTGGATCATGGAAACAGCAAGAGAGTTCCAGAAAAACATCTATTTCTGCTTTATTGATTGTACCAAAGCTTTTGACTGTGTGGATCACCACAAACCGTGAAAAATCCTTCAGGAGATGGTAATACCAGACCACCTGACCTGCCTCTTGAGAAACCTGTATGCAGGTCAGGAAGCAACAGTTAGAACTGGACATGGAACAACAGACTGGTTCCAAATAGGAAAAGGAGTACGTCAAGGCTGTATATTGTCACCCTGTTTATTTAACTTATATGCAGAGTACATCATGAGAAACACTGGGCTGAATGAAGCACAAGCTGGAATCAAGATTGCCAGGAGAAATATCAATAACCTCAGATATGCAGATGACACCACCCTTACTGCAGAAAGTGAAGAAGAACTAAAGAGCCTCTTGATGAAAGTGAAAGAAGAGAGTGAAAAAGTTGGCTTAAAGCTCAACATTCAGAAAACTAAGATCATGGCATCCGATCCCATCACTTCATGGCAAATAGATGGGGAAACAGTGGAACAGTGGCAGATTTTATTTTTTTGGGCTCCAGAATCATTCCAGATGGTGACCACAGCCATGAAATTAAAAGACGCCTACTCTTTGGAAGAAAAGTTACGACCAACCTAGTTCAGTTCAGTTCAGTTCAGTTGCTCAGTTGTGTCCAACTCTTTGCGACCCCATGAATCGCAGCACGCCAGGCCTCCCTGTCCATCACCAACTCCCAGAGTTTACTCACTCATGTCCATCGAGTCTGTGATGCCATCCAGCCATCTCATCCTCTGTTGTCCCCTTCTCCTCCTGTCCCCAATCCCTCCCAGCATCAGGGTCTTTTCCAGTGACTCAACTCTTTGCATGAGGTGGCCAAAGTATTGGAATTTCAGCTTCAACATCAGTCCTTCCAATGAAAACCCAGGACTGATCTCCTTTAGGATGGACTGGTTGGATCTCCTTGCAGTCCAAGGGACTCTCAAGGGTCTTCTCCAACACCACAGATCAAAAGCATCAATTCTTCAGCACTCAGCTTTCTTCATAGACCAGCTCTCACATCCATACATGACCACTGGAAAAACCATAGCCTTGACTAGACACACCTTTGTTGGCAAAGTAATGTATGTCTCTGCTTATATGCTATCTAGGTTGGTCATAACTTTCCTTCCAAGGAGTAAGTGTCTTTTAATTTCATGGCTGCAATCACCATCTGCAGCGATTTTGGAACCCCCCAAAATAGTCTGACATTGTTTCCACTGTTTCCCCACCTATTTCTCATGAAGTGATGGGACCAGATGCCATGATCTTAGTTTTCTGAATGTTGAACTTTAAGCCAACTTTTTCACTCCTCTTTCACTTTCATCAAGAGACTTTAGTTCCTCTTCATTTCTGCCATAAGGGTGGTGCCATCTGCATATCAGAGGTTATTGATATTTCTCCTGGCAATCTTGATTCCAGCTGGTGCTTCTTCCAGCCCAGCGTTTCTCATGATGTACTCTGCATATAAGTTAAATAAGCAGGGTGACAATATACAGCCTTGACGTACTCCTTTTCCTAGACAGCATATTAAAAAGCAGAGACACTACTTTGCCAACAAATGTCTGTCTCATCAAAGCTATGGTTTTTCCAGTAGTCATGTATGGATGTGAGAGTTGGACTATAAAGAAAGCTGAGTGCCAAAGAATTGATGCCTTTGAACTGTGATGCTGGAGAAGACTCTTGAGAGCCCCTCGGATAGCAGGGAGATCAGTCAAATTTGTCAATCCTAAAAGAAATCAACCTTGAATATTCATTGGAAGGACTGATGCTGAAGCTCAGGTACCATTACTTTGGCCACCTGATGCAAAGAGCTGACTCGTTGGAAAAGACCCTGAGGCTGGGAAAGGTTGAGGGCGGGAGGAGATGGGGACGACAGAGGATGAGATGGTTGGATGGCATCACCAACTCGATGGACCTGAGTTTGAGTAAACTCTGGGAGTTGGGGGTGGACGGGGAGGCCTGGTGTGCTATATAGTTCATGGGGTCACAAGGAATCAGACACTACTAAGTGACCAAACTGACCTGAAAATGACAAACTACTACATGTCTCCAACAGTTTAAGCTGCAGCTTTTACATTTTCAAGTGCCAAGGTTCTGCTGTGTTGACAGTTGTATATCTTAGATGTGCGGTTAAGTACCAGCCACCTCTTCTGCAGGCTTCTTCAAAATAGCTTCCACAGTGAATCCTCATCCTTGTGATGATGTACTCTCCCTAGGCTGCAGAGGGCAGGAATGCTTTTAAATATTTTAGGAAATTTGGGAGCTGTTATAGAATCTTGTAGTCTGGGTATCTGTTCCTCTGCAAAAGCCATCATGCACTACCCAAGCTGATCTTCAACCAACCAGACCATTTAGAGATTAATAGGTTATTTGCTTTTTTCTTTCTTATCCACTGGTCCATTCTCAGGCTCTTTTTTTGACCATGTCCTTCCTATTCCCAGTGGGGGACCATTTCTTTTTTCTGTTCCCTTCCATTCTTTGTATTTCTCCTGAATTTTAGGTAAGGGATATATATTTATATACATTACATATGGGCATATATTGAGAGAAAAAACAGGACAGCTACTTTTTAGCAAAAGCCCACATCTGTATGTTCAAATTATCTCTGACTTTGGTCACTAGATGACTTGCCCTTATAAATCTAAACTGATAGATATTTCTCCCTTGCACTGGTTCCAGGGGAAATCAGCTTTGTGGTCCCACCTGTTACATTATCAGGAAAACCGGCAGAGAAAACTCACATCAGGAAGCCTCAGTACCTCAGGTAAGATGGTCTCAGCACCATTGGGCAAGCTCCCTTCACTCACTTTCCCATCCTCCACTGAAGTGATCCTCTTTAGCAGACTGTTCCACATCAGTGAAGCCTTCAATCTGTAGTGTTTAAGCCACAGGGCTCTTTGGACCACAGAGCATGCCAAGGCTGTGGGGTGTGCTTTTATTATGTGTTTCTATACACTTTTGATTAGTGAGATAGAAGATTAATATCACTAAGAGGCCACCCTTAGAATAAATTTGGATTTTAAATGAATTTGGATTGATACCGATGTCCTGTGTTTGGAGCAGGTGTTTTCAGACTCCTTTGTTTTATTTCTCTGAGATGAGCATTGAGATGATTTCCTATCAATTAAGAGAGCCTGTTTTTCAGTGTCCTGCTTTGGAACTTCTCAAAGTCCAGGCCTGGTGTGCATGATCCCTTGAAGTTGCTTTCTGTTTCCATTTAATAAAAATATCAAAGTTGGCAAGGACCCCAGAAATCATCTAGTTCATCCCCCTTGTTTTACAGGAGGCAGAAACTGGTAGCCAGAGAGGAGTTGAATTTACTTGAGATCACACAGTGAATTGATAGAAGAGGCCAGATCAGGAGTCAGGCATCTCGTCTCCTGGTCTGCTGTTCTTTATAACCTCGTGCAGTGTCTTTTCCAGGACTGTCTCCCTTCTTCCTTTTCTTCTTGGCAGCATCTCCTCTGCATACCATCCCTCATTCTCCTCTCTCTGCCAGGGAGTTTGTTTATTTTTCTTAAATGTTCTTGTCCTAATGGTAAAAATCACTTTAAGTGGAGGTGAAAAGGTAGTCATGAATCAGTGTTTGTTGGCTTTGCCCTTGAATTAGTTGATCTCAACAAGCACTCACTGCACGTGGGGAAAATATCAATAGTTGGCAAAAAACCAGATTCAAAAGCTCCCTGAGTAACCTCATAAGGAGTTTTTGAGTCCACTTTCTGGATATGAGAACAGAATCTTCTTAGGAAAGCCACAGAAGTTATTGCCAAGGGATAAAGTGTAGCCAGAAAGTCTCAGCAACTGAATGATGAAGATACTAACTTTAAACGTTGGGCCAGACATGGGGATATACAGGTATTGTGTCTAGAAGTCCTAAGCATTCCTTACACATTCCCTTGGTCTTTCTGTAGTCCTTTTGAGGCAGAAATAGGACAAGAGTATAGCTCTGAGCGGAAGCACTGCTTCCAAGGATTATAAGAACATGTTGGATTAGGATCCAGAGGATCTGTGTTCCTTCCAGTGCCAACTTTGCTACTTGCTGACTGGGGGCAAAGCAGCTCACCTCTGAATTTCAGTTTTCTCTTCTGTGATAACTGTTCATGGCTGTCTTATAAGTTGTTAGAGAATTAAGTGATACAGCATGCATAAAAATATAAAATCTGGTACCTAATAGGTACTTAATGTTCATGAAATGATTGATTAAAGTGTTTTCAAAGTAACCAGCTTTTTTTCTTTAGAAATTTGTGGTTAGAGATCAGAAGAGTAGTTAGCTATTTCGGTAGCCAGATCTCTTTGGACTTAAGCAGATTTTTTTTTTTCTAGGAATATTTCTTGATTCAGAACGGAGGAAGTCTGATGCCAGCTCCGTCATGTCTCCCCTGAGAATCTCCCTCATTCAGGATATGAGGTCAGTCTGGGCTCATTTGTAATTAGCCACTCAAATTCTGTTCTCAGTTGCTGCTTAGGAGTCCACTTTAAATAGCAGAGTCTCAGTGACCTGGGTTTCTACAACCTCTCATTTAACCAGGAAGCATCCTCATTGGTCCTGTGTTTCCTGATGCATTTGTAGAGCTGTATAAGCAGTTGTGTTTCCATACTTTTTTGGAGAATTACACCAGAGTGTTTCAAGGCCTAAAAGCTCTGGGGTTAGCCTTGTGTTTTGAAAGCTGTACTGTCTTCCTCACCAACCCCCTAAATTATGATGAGCCTATCTTTCAAAGCTTCATGGAAGCTCAGGATTTTGTAAACAAGAAAGATGAAGTCTCTCAGGATGGGGTGGGACTGCCTCACCAGGCTTCCTTTGGCATTACAGGGGAGGTGTTGGTAGTGAGTTCATTTCCCACCCCACACTCCACTTCGCTTTCCCTATTTGTCCTTCAGGCACATCCAGAACATTGGAGAAATCAAGACTGATGTGGGAAAAGCCAGAGCATGGGTGCGTCTGTCCATGGAGAAAAAGTTACTTTCCAGACACCTGAAGCAGCTTCTCTCAGACCATGAGCTCACCAAGTAAGGCCATTCCACTTGGAGTAGAACCAGCTCCTGGGAGTGGTGGGAGGGATTGGAAACCCATGGGAAAGGAGAGTATGTGGTGTATCATTACTGCTGAATTCAGCTAAACTCAAATTGCATATGAAGGTTTTGCAGCATTTCTTCTTTTTCTTTATTCCTTTCTGTGTAGAACACTACTGTGCACTTACACTGCAAAATATATTTTCTGCTTTCCTCTTGATGAATAATAACTCTTTTGGCAGTGCTCAACACAGCATGCTTGTTTTAGTAGGAACATTCAGACATAAGCAGTTGACTGGGTGCTCTCTGAACTGAGTTCTGAAGGCTTGGATTCTTCAGACTAAGCCACAACCATACCGGAAGCACTGGTCCTCCCTTTTGGCTGTTGGTTCCTCTTATGGGACCTCCTGTGGTCTATTCTGGCTCCTTCAGCCGTTGGTCAGCCAGTGAGCTCTTGTTGAGTTCTACCTTGGGTCAGTTCCCATAAAGAAGATGGGAGGACTTTTCTTATTTGGGTGATTTTTGTGATGCAGCATTTCTTCTTCTCCTTCTTTATCTGTAGAAGAATAATTCTGTTATTATCTGTTTTCTATTCTTCCTATTTTCTCAATCCACATCTCTCCCCTCCCCAAATAGCTTTCTTGCAGAGGTAGTGAGAAAAATGGAATCCTCATTGGGTACCTTAGAGTTTTGGGGGTCATCCTCTCTTTGTGGCACTCAAATGATCTGCATACTTCCTGGGCATAGGATGTTTTCTTGGTCTCTTGTCCTCAGGGGGAAAGAATTGGAGAATTAAAAAGAAACTTCTAATATATCCGCTTATTGTTTTTGTTCTCTCCTGAGCCTAGGGCCAGCCGAAAGTAGCTAGGTCCTCGCTTTTCCTTGCTCCTAGAACCGCTAACCCTTCAGTTCCCTTCTCTTGATTTTATGTTTGCGTTCATTCTGTACCCAGGTTACTAGAGCAGGAGGGAGAAGAAAGCTGTCCCCCTTCTCTGATTACCATCTCTCAGTCTTCTGTATATAATACGTTTGATTCTTTCATCATCAGCAAACCTATTGGGCATTTTTCTTTTTGGCATTTCCTTGGGCACTTTTTAATGGTATCCTTTATTATGTGACTTGCCTGTTGATGATAAAGCAGAGAAGCAGACCTTGGGGAAATTTTGTGTAAGTGAATTGATTAAACCCGCAGAATCTTTTTATTTAAAGTGAAACTGTGATTTTTTTTTTTTTAAAGATTTTATTGTATGTTTAAACCACAGCAAGAAACTAGTTTCAAAAGCTTGATAGGTTAGGGAGCTCATTTTGAGAGGTTATGAAATAGCAGTTCTTAAACTGCTTGAATTTGATTCCCTTTAATGATGAAAAGGTATAGGAGTAAAATTTGAAGATTGGAAGATAACTAAAAGGAAACAAGTGAACATTTAAGCCTGGAGTTTGGAAGGGAATCAGTTGCATACCAGTTTCTAAAGGCCAGTTGTGTGTCCTGGAAAAATCTGTGGCTGTGTGGGCCCTGGGGTCTGACAGGACAGGAGAGATTGCTGTGGTGTGGTGTGGGCACTGTCTGTTCGGAGATGGCTGCAGGTTGGCGGGAGGACAGGGTATAGAGGGAGCTGAAAGGGGGCCCGGTCCAAGAACATTATGAAAGAGTCCAGGGCAGTAGATAGGTCTAGGGCCTGTGAACTCAAAGGTCTAGGCAGGAGCAGACAGGGCACAGACCTTGGTGAGGAGGCTCATTTTGGTTTTTTTAAACTGTGGCCCTGTTAGAAGACGACAGCTCAGGGTCCATTTACTGCATAGTAACTTCTCACGTGATGGTCTGACCCCTGTGCTACTCCAGTGACTAGAAAATGAGGAGAGCTTTGCTGCCACAGGCTGCATTGTGGGTGGGGTGTAGGGAGAGAGAAAGACATACTCATCAAAACCTACCTACTCCTCCATCCTGCCCCTCTCATCTTCTCAGTGTGCTTCCGTTTCCTGCTGCTTCAGACCCCTCGCACTTCTCAGGATGTGGTAAGCTCTTCAGGGCCTAGTCACAAGTTTTCTTTGCCGGAGTCTGCCCAGACACCCCAGCGGCCTGGTCCATCCCTCCTCAGGCTCCCATAGCATTTGTTAAAGTACTTGTTCATGCCTTTTTTTTTTTAACCACAGGTGGGGTGTGTTATCATTATCATTATTTGTTTGCCACTTATTAACATTTGCTTTCTTTGGAAGTGTGAACCATACACCTTTCCCTGTATGCATTTTCCCTACTTAGGTTCCTGGTTTTGAGACCGTGTGACTCCTTGCTTAGCTTTACCTCCCATGTACACATTTCAGGTCCTTAGCTGCTGTTCCATCTGTCTCCTTATTTATTGCGGACTCCCTGGGTTTCACTTTCATGCCCCTTTAACCCTTCAGCTGTGCTAAATTTAAATTTCTTGAAGTTGGTCATGTCTTTGCCTTTATCTCTAAGAAAACTATTACTTGTAGAGCAGATTGTAGACTCTTTAGCCTCAATATTTAGGCCTGCCTTAATTTTACCCTAGCCAGACTTTTCAGTCTCATTACTAACTGTTTACTTCCCTGAGCCCTCAACTCTAGCCAAACTGACTTTTATACCTTCTCCTTCTGCAACCCCTGTCTGAATGTGTACTGTCCTTCAGACCCCTTCTGTTCCGGGACCATCATAGCTTATGGCTCTTTCAGTTTCCAGAGAGAGCCCTTTAGAGCCTTTTATTTGGCAACCTGTTATATTACATATTGTGGCCTTGAGCAGGTTTATTCATCTAGACCGTATTTGAGGATAGGCTTCCCTCTCTGGCTCCTGGGTTGGTGAATTATCTGTGTGAAGAACTGTATAAACTGTCTAGGTAGAACCTCACAGGTCTGCTGAATCCCACACTTCTCTGGCATGGTGATGGCAGTCTGGGCAGGCAGGACAGGGACCTTGCTTTGTTCTCTGTGTGTTTCTCTGTGCTGTGGTCCTCTGCACTGGGCTCTTTGTGTCCCTAATACTTGGGGAAGGTAGGCCCTCTGTGTCTGCAGTGTCCAGCAGAGGAGTGAGCAATGGATGATGGATGGGGATGGGAGGAGGTTTGGAAAGAGGGTAAGAATATTCTCTGTACAGCTTTTCCTTGTCTGTGACCTGGATCATTCCATTCCTTGCCTCTGACATGTTCAGAGCAGTGTTCTGACCTGTGGGTCTCAGGTCTGCTGAGGGTCTGAGACTAGCCCTGGTAGGAATAATGACCACGACCTCCAGCCATTGCTACTTGCATGCCACACACTGGGATGATGCCCTGTAGAAGCCTTCAGGTTAGGAAAGAAGTCCCACAACCTCTGACACTTTACAGTAACGTCAGCTCTTGGACACGAGTAGAGCTTGGCTTGTGTTTTTCCTCTTTAGGTTAAGCCACTTTTGCTCTAGCCCTCAGATGGAGTTGCTGGCTTTGTTCCTTATTTAGGTGGCTACAGAACTTTGAGGCTTGCCCTCATGTTCTTTCCTTAGCCATCTCCCTCCAGAACTGAATACTTCTAGCTTCTTTCCTCCCGTTTTGGCTGAGAGACTGACGTGTTATCTCCTCTCCGACAGAAAGCTCTACAAGCGCTACGCCTTCCTGCGCTGTGACGACGAGAAGGAACAGTTCCTCTATCATCTCCTCTCTTTCAATGCTGTCGATTACTTCTGCTTCACCAATGTCTTCACGACTATCCGTGAGTGGCCCTGTGCTCCCCACTAGCCTTCCCAATGCCAGTCTTCATGAACCTATCAGAGGCTAACTTATTGAACCCTTTTTAAATAAAGATGATCACTTGTCCTTTCTTCTGTGGGGAGAGAGGTCTTTACTAGCCCTCCTTGGAGGTTGTTTTTTCTCTGAAGTTTCTTTTTGTTTTGAACTAGGATGCTCATACTTTTGGCCATTGTGTTATCACTGTGGTCTTGGGCACAGCTCTGGGGGCCTAAGATGGAGTGGGGTGGTGGTGGTGAAGTTCACTGCCTGCTCTGCACACCTGTAAAGAAATCCCCCTTTTGTTTTGGGCTGAGAAAGTCATTTAGTATCAGGGAAGGTTTCAGACTGGCTTCCAGGGAAAAACAACTCCTGAAGTAGCAGGAAGAACTCCAGACGGCTGTGGGAGGTTTGGGTCTGGGCCCTGTTCTGCCCTAACTCATTTTGGATCTGTGAGCAGTGTCTGCCTGAGCCGTAGGCCTCCATCTCCCTGTTTGCAGAGTGAGGAAAAGGGTTTGAAATGGTCTCAGAAAGGCCCCTGGAGCCTTATTGTCCTTTGGTGCCAGGATGCCCTGTTAGGTAGGCAAGTCACTGCAGTCCACGGGGTTGCAAAAAACAGGACGTGACTCAGCGACTGAACTGAAGTGAGTCTGAATTTGCCCGCGGCTAGCTGTTTGGCCAGTGGCTCAGCAGCATGGACTCTTGTTTTCACAGGACACTTATCCTTCTCCCCAGAGAAGAGGGTCCTAGACTGGTGGAAGCAGCACTGGGCTGGAATGTAGGAGGCCTGAGAGAAATGGTTTCCCTCTCAGTGCCTTGGGAAAGGATTGTGATACCTGCTTGGCTTCTCTGGAGATTGTTACTAGAGTCCTTGAGATGACAGATAGAAGAGTGCTCTGAAAAGCCATTCAGTACAGTGTTGAGTTGGCGATCATGTTTAAGGGACAGTTTTTCTTAGCTCTGAGCTCACAGATGGGCTTGGGTGTGGATGTTTGGGCGATAACCCTGGGAAGAGTGAGACTGAGAAGATTGGCGAATATTCTAAATTGGCCCTGCTGCTCCAGGCTCTGCACCAGGAACCGCAGACATGCCAGCACACCTTGGGCAGGTCAGTGCCTTCTCAGGTACGGGAAGGACTCCTGATCCTCTCCAATGCCTCATGCCTTCCTCTAAACAGTGATTCCTTACCACATCCTCATCGTACCGAGCAAGAAGCTGGGGGGCTCTATGTTCACCGCCAACCCATGGATCTGCATCTCAGGAGAACTGGGTGAGACACAGATCCTGCAGATTCCAAGGAACCTGTTAGAGATGACCTTTGAGGTATGTGTTACCCAGGGACCACATCCCCAGGCTCTAGGGATCTGAGTTTCAACTGCTACTTTGGCACCTTCCTCCAGGGTTTTACGGAGGCCTGACTGTGTACAGTATTATGTTTCAGCACAGCTGACCTGTCCCAGGGTGACCAGAGGCCAGAGCCAAGGGTTGAGCTGAAGAGAGGGAGCCTGCTTTGTGTACATGGTCTCTGGCCGGAAGGTGCCCATCTGGACTTGCATACCTCCCTGTCCATGCTGTGTGGAGGAATTCTTGAATTCTTTCAGCTGCTGAACCCAGGGATTCACAGAGACCTCAGACTGCTCTGCCACTTCCAGAGCCTTTTGTTCCCAGGCCTTATTTCTTCCTCTAGGTTGTAGTCTCTTTCTTCCTCAGCCTCGTTCCTCATGAGATAGTATGTATTGCCAGCTTTGGTGGCAGGTGGAGCCATGAGCTCTGCCCCTGCAGATAGTGGGGCCAGCTTGCAGGCAGCCAGTCAGATCTGTGCCTCTGAGCAGTGTGGCACTTTTTTCCTATTTTCTTGACCTTCCTATCGTCTCTGTTTCCCTATTCTCTCACAGTGCCAGAACTTGGGGAAACTCACTACTGTGCAGATAGGCCATGATAACTCTGGACTCTATGCCAAATGGTTGGTGGAGTATGTGATGGTCAGGAATGAGATCACCGGACATACCTACAAGTAAGTGCTCTTCAGCTCTGCCCTGAGACAGTGGGGCCTGGTGTACTTCCAGGGGCTGTGTTTGATGCTTGGGTATGTGGACTTCTCAAGAAGACCTTTTAGGTGTGATAGGCTGAGGCTTCTTGTTGGAAAAGACAAAAAAGGAGGGTTTTCCAAGTGAGAGTGTCTGCTACCACTGTCTAGGCCACCCATCACTCAGGTGGCTCCCCTGATGCTACACAATGGGATGAGGAGCAGGGCCATGACGGGTCCCAGGCCAGTTTCAGAGCCTGTCCCCAGGGATTGGCTTTGATGATGGCCTTTGTGGATCAGCAAGGGGAAGGACGCTGAAGGAGCGGACAGCTCTGACAGGCTATTGCCTGAACCTCAGGTTTCCATGTGGCCGCTGGTTGGGGAAGGGCATGGATGATGGGAGCCTGGAGCGGGTCCTGGTTGGGGAGCTGCTCACATCCCAGCCTGAGGTGGATGAGAGGCCGTGCCGGACCCCGCCCCTGCAGCAGTCTCCCAGCGTCATCCGGAGGCTTGTTACCATCTCACCCAACAACAGACCCAGTAAGTTGAAGGTGGGGCTGGGCCCTCACGCTGTCCAGCCTGGAGAGTGGGCAGATGTCTGGGAGCCCTGATGAGGGAGCCCAGATCCGTGCCTGCACAGCTGCCTCAGGCACCACCTCTGCAAGGCAGCATCAGGCGTTGCCACCCTCCTCTCATGAAGCAGTGTGGGGATTTGGCGCTCCAGTTAGAGGACTGGCAGGAGAGGGGAGAGCTCCTAGAGCCAGACCCAGTCCTCTCTGCTATTTGTATGTGACCCTGTGGAGAAGAGGGGTCTGCTTTCTGGCCTTCCCTGTTTTCACTATCAAGTTCCTGGCTTCACTGTCAAGGCTTGGCACTCTTTTGGTTGCCAGAGTTCCAGGGCAAAGAATAAATTTTACTAGCTTCTATTAGAGACTAGACTCCAAGGTATTAGCTGTTGCTTTTTGTCCTAAGATTTTAGGAAGAGCTAGCTCCACAAAGTTGGGTGAGCCAAGAGCAACTCAACTCTTCCCAGGGTCCAGGCTGCCCCACCTCTCCTGTGGGCCTTCCCTATGTCCTGAGTCTTTTGCTCTCTCAGCCAAGCACTATTAACCTCTGAGATTGGATATCTGCTTGATTTTTAATCAGAGCTGAACACTGGGCAGATCCAGGAGTCCATTGGTGAGGCAGTCAATGGCATCGTGAAGCACTTCCATAAGCCTGAGAAAGAGGTGAGCCTCCCTACCCTCCAGCCCAGGGCCTTATATTGAGTAAGAGAGAATAACCTTGTTCCAGGTTCATGTGCTGGGGACAGCCTAACACATAGAGGATGTGCCTCAGTTAGTTTGAGATTCAGCATATTCCTTCCTCTGGGGACCTGTGCCTGGAGTTACCCTGTTTTCCTTACATTTTGACAACACAGCAGAGTCCAGTGAGCTGTGTGTATTTCTCTTGTCTTATGAATCTGTCTGCGTCTCCCTAATAGTGGCCACATTGGCTTTGTCCCCTGCTGGGGACCCAGAACCATCATCTGTTCACTGAACAGCTTTTCACTGAGACCTGCTCTGAGTTGGCCCCTTCCAGGTGCTGGGAGACTAGACAAGGTCCCTGCCTGTGTGTTGCTGCCCTCCCAGGTGTGGGTGGTGGGCTTGGGGTGTAGTGGTTGGATGGCATCTTGACCAAGGCTAGCCTGGCACTCTCCCCTGTTTCCTTATATAGCGAGGTAGTCTGACACTGTTGCTTTGTGGAGAATGTGGCCTTGTCTCGGCCCTGGAACAGGCTTTCCAGCATGGATTTAAGTCACCACGGCTCTTCAAAAATGTCTTCATTTGGGATTTTTTGGGTGAGTTGGGCTAGGATTTGAGGGTGGGAAAAGCATGCAGACGTGAGGGGATCATCAGTCTAATGTGTGGGTGCTGACCACTGGGGTCTGAGATAATAGAAGCCAAATCAACTGAGTCTCAGGTTAGATCTGTTGTTTGTTGGCCCTGGCTTTTCTTGAAAGTAATGAGAGAACACCCCCACCCCCACCCTGCCCCACTGTTCACCCCTTATCTTCTGTGAACTGGTTTGGAAAGACTCTTTCCAGGCATCTGTTATATATAATACAGGCTTAGTCATGACCCCTCACACTTCCTGCTCATAGGTCCAAGAGCCCAGTTGATAGCACTGAAGTCCAAGCCCTTTGTTAGACCCACTTGGAGAAATTGATGCAAGAAGCTTCTTCCTCAAGAGTTTTGTTGAGAAAGGACCATCTTTATATCAAGGGTCTAAGGAATTTAGAACACAGAGCTAGGGAATATAAGGATCTTTTTAAACTGTGCCCAGGGACATCAGAACACCCTTGTTCTCACTGAGTTACCTGCATTGACTTGGAGGGGCCTGAGGTAGGACAGTCAGGGATAGGTTCGTTTTGAAAGCCTCTGTCACTGGCAAACTTCTCCTCTTCACAGAAAAAGCACAAACCTATTATGAGACTTTGGAGCAGAACGAACTTGTCCCTGAGGAAAACTGGCATACGAGGGCCCGGAACTTCTGCCGATTTGTCACGGCAATCAATAATAATCCCCGGAACATCGGCAAGGATGGCAAGTTTCAGATGCTGGTGTGCTTGGGAGCCAGGTACTGCAGCCCCGTGGCCTGGCGTGCAGGCAGCCAGCCTTGCAGGCGGTGCTGGAGGTGCCGGGGGCAGGGAGTATCCTATGACCCAAGGGTGGGTAAGGCCTTGTGGGCTTGGTGGAAGCCCTGAATTTCCTTCATGTACCGTGTGTGTGGGGTGTGGGGATGAGAATGTGTGTCTAGTTGGGGAGGAAGGGCCACATTTTGATGGGAAGGAATAAAACTGCCCCCCTGGTAAAATCTGAAGCAGAGTATACGTATCTAGTCACTCCTTCAACAAACATTTGAATGTGCTAGGCCTCATGAAAGATGTGGGAATAAAGCTGAATAAAACATGGTTCCTACCATTTAGAAGTTCACTTGTCCTAATTAAGTACAGTACAAAGCAGAAGTTTGGGAGAGTTTGAAAAAGTACTCATTCATAAGGTTTGCTGAAAATGTAGAGGAGAAAGATCAGAGGAGGCTTCGAGAAAGAGGTGGTATTCGAGGTGAGCTTTAGCAAAAGGATAGAAGTCAGGAGGGAGCTTGAAGCAGACGAAACTAGCAGAGAGGCCCTATACGAAGCAGCGGATGTGGGATTAGGAATTAGCAGGTGGAATGTTGGAAGGGCAGTAGTAGGATGGGGGCCTTGAGGAGCTGGGACAGAGTTAATTTTAATCAGGGGACTGAAATGATAGTCATTTGACATCAGGGATGGTACACATCAGAGTGGACAAGATTGTTAGGGGTTTTCCAGGGGTCAGGTGAGAGCACAAAGACCAGATAAACAGGGTGGTTTATTTAGGCCATGGAAGGGAGGAGTTGGCATAGTGGTTAAAGACAGACTCTGGAACCAGAGTCATCAGGTTCACATTGCAGATCAAGCCACTTCCTGGCTGTGTGCTCTTGAATAAATTGCTTATCTCCATCAACCAGAAGATGTTTCCTCATCTCTACTGTGGGGATAATAATAGCCCTGATAGCAACTCCCTCACATCATAGGGTTGTCATGAAGGTTGTCTCTTATAAAGGGGCCTGGCACGTGCTAAGTGCTATTTGTGTGTCAGTTTGTTGTGTATTGGTGGTGGTGGTGGCTCTGGAGAGGAGTGAGGTTCTAGGAGATGGAGGATTTGATGCTGAGGGGACGTAGTGTCTGGTTGATGGTGTGTCTGGAGGGAAAAGGGGGCAGCAGGGGAGGAGGAGCAGGCCTTGTGCGGATGACAGGGTCTGTATGGATTGGCATTCCTGGGGCTGGGTTGCCCCCCACGTTGATCCTGATTGTGCTCGTGCTCAGTCGTGTCTGACTCTGTGACCCTATGGACTAGCTGGTCAGGCTCCTCTGTCCATCGAATTTCCCAGGCAGGAATACTGGAGTGGGTAGTCATTCCCTTCTCCAGGGATCTTCCGACCCTGGGATCAAACCCAAGTCTCCTGCATTGGCAGGCGGGTTCTTTACTGCTGAACCACCTGGGAAGCCAGGTAGCCCCCAGTGGGAGCCTTTAAAGCCTCATAAAGCATCTTCACCAGGTGCTCTTAGGGGAGTGGAAGGGGACTATGGGGAGAGACCTGCTTCTCCTGCTTCATACTTGGTTTGGGGGGTGATGGGGCAGGTTCCCCCTTGGGCTTTTGCTAACTGTCTCCTGTCCCTCTGACCCATTGGAATGGATCCTTCCCTGCCAGAGACCACCTCTTGCACCACTGGATCGCCCTGCTGGCCGACTGCCCCATCACGGCACACATGTATGAGGATGTGGCACTGATCAAAGACCACACACTTGTCAATTCCTTGATCCGCGTGCTGCAGACGCTGCAGGAGTTCAACATCACTCTGGAGACGTCCCTGGTCAAGGGCATCGACATCTGACCTCCCAGCACCAGCCAGCAGCAGGACCCAGAGACTCGCCTGCAACTTTGCCCCTTCTTTCCAGAGGGACCTAAGCGAGTTGTGCAGGAGATGAGAGGAGATGTACACTCACTGTAAAAAGAAAAGTAGAGGATTTTTGGAATAAATAATCTATTTTAGAGTTTATTTGCTGATTTGCTTTTTACACACTTTCATGTGAAAGAGTGAAGGGAGAGGGAGACGAGGCTGGTGCCGCTTATTTTGAAGCTGGTGCCCTCCCTCGCCGTGGCCACGCTGGAGCCTGCGGCCTCCCTGGACTGAGCCTGCGGCGCCGCGGGGCAGTTCTGCCTCCTCGCCCTGCCGCGTTAATGAGGCCATTCCACATTGTTTTTAAACTAATGTTTTCTATATTAACATTATTATGGATATTTGGCTTTCACGGGCCACACAGGTGTGCTGAGCAGGAATCCCCACGCTCCAATCAAAGGGATTTTTAGTAGTGCCTCTGTAAGCACTGATGAGTCAGCCCTCTGTCTTTTCTGTTTTGTCAGTATTATTTGGGAAGGTGACATGCCAGGATGTATCATCGTGCAGAGAATCACGTTTCCTCTTGGCACACTTGCACAGAAGTAAATATAAGCATGTTTTAACAGGTTTTCCTTTTTTTTTTTTAATGTATTATTTATTTAACCCTCCATTGTATGTTTTAAGTCTTTTTCTTTTCTTTTTTCTATTTTTTTTAAGGAAAGAAAAAGCTGTCCCAGTCTAACTGGCTATGTTATTACTGTTAAATTTATGTTGTTTTGCAACTTAGAAACCAGCTGCAGTATGGCCCACTTAATAAAACACCTGAAACGAAACTGTGTGGGCCCCTGACTTTGGTGTGGGGGCTGTGAGGAGTGGGGGTGGAGAGCGCAGTTTGATCTGGGAGGAAGGGGCTGTAGCACTGCCTGCCCCACCAGGCCTGCCCAGAGGGGTGAGGGGCTTTGGGTCCTGGTCCCTACCCACTGTGGCGCCAGGAACTTCCATGGCTGTTTGAGAGGAATGCAGACAAGGATTATTTTCCCACCGTCCAGAGGAGGAGGCTGAGGCAGGGGGAAAAAGACCTAAGTTGCAAAGGTGGTCACTTGACTGAGACAGGATGGGCCTTTTCTTGAGGGTAAGAAAGACCAGATGTGGGAACACTGGGCACGTGAGAGCCTGTCTGCCCTTGGGAAAGAAAGGTTTTTCCCAGTGTGGCAGGTGATAGAGCTTTGTCAGTTTCCCAGAAATCAGCTTGTGTGTGGTGTGCTCAGTTATGTCTGACTCTTTGAGACCCCATGGATTGTAGCCCACCAGGCTCCTCTGTCCAAAGGATTCTCCAGGGAAGAATACTGGAGTGGGTTGCCATTTCCTCCTCCAAGGGATCTTCCTGACCCAGGGATCGAACCTGTGTCTCCTTTGTCTCCTGCATTGGCAGGCGGGTTATTTACCTGCTGAGCCATCAGGGAAGCCCGGTAAGTCGGGCTTAAGCCCGGTAAGCTTGATTTGGTTTTATTTTTCAACCAAGCTGCTTTGGCAGGAAGCCCCAGAGGTGTAGCACAATCACGTACAGCCCCTCAAGCCAACCAGTGTCCTCTTTTATGCTTCCCTGACTTGGCATGTTCTGTTCCCTCTGCCTGGAATGCCTACCCTCATGTCTGCTTGTGTTCTTTGTTCAGGGTTTACGTTAGGAATCACCTACTGACTCCTCCCTGGGCACCGTTAATCATTCTTTCGTTTTGCTCCTGTAGTTTCTTAGATGCTAGAACTTCCTTTCTGGGTTGGCATTGTCTGCTTTCACATTGGGCCCACTTCTTAGACTGAGCTTCTCGAGGGTGGAGAGGGTCTATGGTTCATCTCCCGCCCTGGTGACAGGCATTCTTCAGGTGAGGCTTTTTGAAGAGGTGAGGAAGCAACTGGAGGTTTCAGGGCAGCCGCAGTGCACCGTCCTGCCAGCAGGGGGTGTGAGCGGGTCGCGGGAGTCCAGGTGTTTTTGGAGGCTGGGGCTGGGGGAGTGGGAGGGAAAGTGCCTCAGAGAGCACATGTGTGTTGTTGGGCACTGGGCCAGAGATGACCTTAAGCCAGATGCTTTGCACACACACCTCTCCCTTTTCCTCACAACTCGCAAGGCAAATTTAGATTATTCTGTTTATAGGTGAGGAAATTGAAGCTTGGAGAAGTTTAGTCACTTGCCCAAGGCCACACATCACGTAAGTCGTCTGCAGTTACTAGAACTGTTTACTCCAAGCTTGTGGCTTTGGAGCTGCTCCCTTACTTTATTCAGGTCTCTGCTCAGATGTCCATAGAGAGACCTGCCCTGACCACTCTAAAATACCAAGTCACTTTTTATTCTCTGTTCTTTATTTTCCTTCCTAACACCTGTAACTTGCAAATACTAGTTATTTGCTATTTTTAAACGTAAGCTTTATGAGGGAAGAACCCGATCGACTGTTCATGAAGTACTAACTGGCACCTGTTTTGTACCTAGTAGGTGTCTGTGGAATATGTGAATTCATTGGCAGTTGTTAACATCACAAACTGTGGGCCAAAGTCCTTTGGTTGAATCCTTGCTCTGCTACTGGGACTGAGAAAGCAAGCTATTTACTCACTGTCGATGAAATGGGAATGGTAATAGTGACTGTGTCATAGGCTTGTTGTAAGGACTGAATAACTCTGCATGTATATGTAGAACAGGTCAAGTGTATGTAAATGCTGGTCATGGCTATTACTGTATTGTATCAAGCCCTGTCCTGGTTCCTATGACCCAGACCTCCTGTCCTCAGAAAGCTCAGAGGCAAGTATTTCGGGGGAAGCAAAGAGTCGGACACGACTGAGCGACTGAACTGAACTAAACTGATGACGTCAGGAGAGATACTGCTCACCATGACCATATCTGCTTAGGATGGAGGATTTTCAGATGAGTGGAGATTGCATGTAGAGCGAACTGCATGGGTAAAGGCGTGGCTATGTGAATGTGCCCTCCCGACTGGGATGCTTGGGGAAGTACTAGAGTCGAGTCAGACAGGGAGGAGAGCAGATGTGTGGGCCCACAAAATGGGAGACAAAAGGTCAACAGGTGTCCCAGGGCCTTGAACGTCGCTGGTGCTCAGTAGATGTGGACTGAATGAATGAACGAACGCATGCTGCTGACACCAAAAACCAAAGCCATGCCACCTGTACACAGCCCTCCTTGTGCACATGTACACCTGTGAAGAATGTTGCTGCTGCTCCAAGCACTCCTTGTCTGATGTGTGGAATGGAAACCTGGGGTCAGAGCATAACTCCTGGGCTAAGACATGACAACTGCATGTCCCCAGTGCAGTGCGCCGTCTGAATAGGTCACCTGCAGTATGTGGCTCATGACCACGTGTATGGTCTAACTCAGGGCAGACTCACCCATGACAGGACCACATCTCAGAGCAGCAAGAGGGGGCAGTATCCTATAGGTAAACTGGGAGTATCTCTCCTCTGCCTCCTTCCAGCTTGTGGCTGCTAATTACCTGAGCCAGTGCTCAAGTCAGTTGAAGATAAATGACCTTCCTGGATGTGGTGACGTGTCTGACTTGCGAAACGGTCCAGTGGGTCTTGGCTATGTGTGGTGGGTGCACGGCACCCTGCTGTTGGTTATATGCTTCAGTGGAGGATGCTGGTGGCCTCAATCAGCCAAAAGCAGTGGAGAAACAATGCCCTTTCTAGCAGATGCTGCCGAGAAGGTGAGTGTGAATCCCCTTTTACAACTCAGGGCTCTCCTGGAACCATCCATCTCTCTGCCCCTTCTAACAGCTGATTGTGCTGTGAGTGTCTCACTTTCTACTGTGTTTTGTTTTATAATCTGCTGCAAATCCTTTTTCGAATGACATGGTAGAAAAGAACAGACACGCTTGGTAGCTCAGTGTTTCAAGGACACTCAAGTCAACTGCCTCTCCAGCAGCTCTGGGGAGGTCAATCAAATTCATTGTTTGCTCGGCAAGCAGCCCTTCCTGCTTTGACTTCTGCACCTGCGCTAAATCAGTGCTTCCCAGACTCTGAGATTTCAGGGACTGGTCAATAAACAAGCAGATGAACTCAGTGAATTGTTAGAAAGCAAGCGCCCTTGTAACCACCACCAGGCCAGGAACAGAGCTTTATCCACATCCCCAGGTTCCCCACTCCCCTCCTTCCAACTTCTTGACCTTCACCGAAATCACTTCCTTGAGTTTCTTTCATTGTTTTATAACCCACGTGTGCATCCCTGTACTCTATAGGGAAATTTTACTATTTTTAAAAAACAAACCCACTTTATTATTTATTTATATTTTTGGCCTCACCTCTCGGCTTATAGGATCTTAATTCCCCAACTAGGGATTAAACCTGGGCCCCCGGCAGTGAAATAGCCAGGTCCTAACCACTAGACCACCAGGGAACTCCCTAGTTTTACTATTTGTTTTTGTTTTTTAACTTGATGCAGCTCTTTTAATCTGAAGAGTCTCCTCTATCCCTGTCTTTTCCTTACAGTTTATTTGTTGAGGAACCTGGGCTGTTTGACCTGTAGTTTTTCCACAGCCTGGATTTTGCTAGTTTTACGCTGAGGGTGCAGTTCAGTTTGCTCTTTTATTCTCTGCATTTCCTGCAAATCAGCAGCTAGAGACAGAGACCTGATTCACCTCAGGTTGGATCCCTCTTGAGAAACCTGTATGCAGGTCAGGAAGCAACAGTTAGAACTGGACATGGAACAACAGACTGGTTCCAAATAGGAAAAGAGTACATCAAAGCTGTATGTTGTCACCCTGCTTATTTAACGTATATGCAGAGTACATCGTGAGAAATGCTGGGTTGGAAGAAGCACAAGCTGAAATAAAGATTGCCAGGAGAAATATCAATAACCTCAGATATGCTCACCAGAGAGCATCCATCACAGAAGCAGACTGAACTAAGTAGATTAAATGACTCAGCCACTTTGTCACTGGCCATCCTAGAACTGGCACAATAAGCAGATGAATGGAGTTGTCTATCACAAGATA